TATGTGTTTTACCACAATGAGAAAAAGTGATAGAAAATACCAACATTTCCACAAAAGGTCACAGAAAAGGCTGGCAAAAATATGGAGACATTAACATGAAAATGTTAACAGAAAAAAGCAAGCTACAGAACTGTAAAGTGAATCCAATATGCACCCAGTGGGAGAGAAATAAGGAGGAGATAAAGCAACTGTTAATAAGGGCTCTCTTCAGATACTGGTGATGGAGATGACTGAGGTGTGTGAAGGAGGGAGCTTTTCAGTATTTTCCAAAATGTCTAAAATGAGCATCTATTGCTTTCACAGTTACAATTACTGTTATTTTTTTTAAGTGTATGTTTAAGATGGTCTGGCTACAGTTAAATGCTGAGGTCAAGAGAGGCATCGGTGCTGGCAGTTCTGACACCACAGGCTCTGCCCAAGGCTACCACCGTCCCAAATGTTCCAAACCACCAGACCCCTCTCTCCCTGCTCTGACCAAACACTACAGTAGCTCCTAAATGGCAGGATCCCCTACTGGTCTTACCACATCTTGGATGATGCTGTGGTACCTTTTACACTACCATGGCCACCCCAGCACTGCAGAGTCAGCAGGTTAGGGGTTGGGGTTGAGGCAAGCTCTGTTTGGTCAGCATTTTCAAATGAACACTTTATTCTGAGCTTCAGCATGTCTAAATCCAACTCCATTCAGATCAGGGGATCTGCAACTCTTTGAATATTTACATGCAAGGCTGTACACGATAACAAATAATTCCATTACAAAATGAGCAAAGGGAGAGAATAGACATATCTCCAAGGAAGATACACAGATGGCCAGTATGAGCATGAAAAGATGTTCAATATCCAGTCATTAGGAAAATGTAAATAAAAACTATAATGAGATGCTGCTTTACATGCACTAAAGTGGATAGAAAAATAATTTTTAAGAAGGACAGTAACAAATGTTGAAGAGGACGTAGTGAAAATGAAAAAAACCCTGATATACACTGCTACTGGAAGTGTAAATGGGTGCAGCTACTGTGGAAAACAGTTTAGTGATTCCTCAAAGAGTTAAACATGGAATTGCTGTATAACCCAGCAATTCCACTCCTAGGGATACATATCAAGAGAACTGAAAATATGTCCAAAAACTTGTACGTGAATTATCATAGCAGCACTGTTCACAATCACCAAAAGACGTACATAACACAAATGTCCATCAAGTGATAAATGGATAAACAAAATGTGGTACATCCATACAATGGCATGTTATTTAGCACCAAAACAGAATAAAGTACTGATACACGCTACAACACGTAGGTTGTTAGGGAATGGGAAGAGGGAGAACAGGGAATGACTGCTAATGTGTACAGTTTCTTTTAGGGGTGATGAAATGTTTTGGGCCCTGGCTGGTGTAGCTCAGTGGATTGAGCACGGGCTGCGAACCAAAGAGTCATGGTTTGATTCCCAGTCAGGGCACATGCCTGGGTTGCCGGCCAGGTCCCTGGTGGAGAGTGTGAGAGGCAACAACGCATTGATGTTTCTCTCCCTCTCTCTTTCCCTCCCTGTCTCTCCCTCTAAAATAAATAAATAAAATCTTTAAAAAAAAGAAAAAAGAAGACAGTGGTGATGGTTGCACAACTTTGTGAACATAGTAAAAAAATACTGAATTGTACATTTTTAAATGGTGAATTTTATAATACATAAGTTCTACCTAAAAAAGTTGAGGGAGCCTGCGAACCAAACTACTGCGGTTCCATTCCCAATCAGGGTACATGCCTGGGATACAGGCCGGTTCCCTGCAGGCCAGTTCCCAGCAGGGGATGCACAAGAGGCAACCATACATTGTTATTTCTCTCCCTCTCTCCTTCCCTTCCCCTCTAAAGATAAACAAATAAAATCTTTAAAAAAAAGTTGAGGGACACTCTACAAAATAATCAGCCAGTCCTCTTAAAAAATTTACAGTCGTGAAAGACCAAAAAGACTGAGGAACAGTACCAGATTAAAAGATACTAAGGAGACCTGACAACTAAGCTCAATGTGGGAAATGGGATTAAATCTTGGAACAGAAAAAGGACATTAGTGGGACAAGTGATAAAACATGAATAAAGTCTATAAATTAGCTACTACTACTGTATTAATATTACATTTCTTGTCTAACTTTAATATGATTATGTAAAATGTTAACATTAGGAAAATTTGGGTGAAGAGAATATAGGAAGTCTGTGTATTCTTTTCACAAGGCTAAAATTATTTCAAAATAAAAAGTTTTAAAAAGTGTATGTGACACAGGTCAGGGGCCGGCAGGTTTTCCTGTAAAGTGCTGTATAGTAACAACTTTACACTTCATGGACTATGTGCTCTTTGGAGCGACAACTCAACTCTGCTGCCCAAAACAATATGTAAACTCACGAGTATGGCTATGTTCCAATAAAAACCTGACTTATATGCACTGGAATGTGGTTTTGTTTTCCTATATCGCAAAATATTCTTCTTCTCTTGATTTATTTCCCATCATTTAAAAATGCAAAAAAACAGTCCCAGCTCCCCAACCATAGAAAACAGGCAGTGGGGCCAAATTTGGACCACAGCCCACAGACTGCAGACTGCTTCTGCCCTTGCTCAGAATTTGCCCATGTGTGCTTCATTTTTTTCAAAAGTGCTTCTCACCGATTAAGTTTGGCAATGCTAGATTAAACTAGGTTAGGCACATTTCTTTATTGCAGGATGTCTTGGTGCCTTAAATGTAAGAAGCTCCAAAAAGTCATAACGATATGAAGCTTTTCCCAAACTTATTATTACCACAGAACACTTTTTTCAGAGGCATCCGTTCGGACTAGTGGCTGGAAAAGCAGAATGTAAATGCCAATTTGGTTCTTTCTTAAAAAGAAATGTTCGAATTAAGAAGTTTTAAAAACACCACCACCACGTTAAAATTATTTTACCCAGCACCTGGATGATACCTGCATAAGCATTTCATAATTTTTTTTCTTTAATCCTAGGAAACACACTCGAGGCAGGAAGATAAACACAGACAGGAAGCCCTTGGGGGGGGGGGAGCACGGGCTGGGAAGCATGTCAGCAGAACTGGGTCACAATATGGAATCTTTGCTCCATAGGACAACCCAAGTATTCTAACCTGTTTTGGAAAGGAGATCTGCTTGGGGTTATATAAATCACAATATAAGGAGCTCTGCTGTTTGACTAGAAAACTAGGCATGCTAGAAGCACTATCAGAGGATTACCCATGAGCATGAACTGGCTAGTCAAGTTCATACAAGGGCTGGTTTTAAATATTGGATGGAATGTTAGCTGACAGATGGCAAAAATTCTCTTGGTAGACACACCATCTACACAGCACAGTGCTGGAAAGAGGATTAAAGAAGGATTTACATCTAAGGAGGAAAGGCTAGCCAGATCAACCTCAAGGTGTGAACAGCCCTTCTTCTGCCTGAGACTCCTCACTTTTGTGATCCAAAGCGTTCGCTGGCTTCTGATCAAACACAAAGTCTTCAGAGGCATTTCAAACTTGTTCTATGAAAAGAAGCTACAAACCAATGGGCTGAGGACCCTGCTTGGTTATTCATTCAACAAACATTTTAAGGAGCCTTTATCACATGGGCCATTCCAAAGTCCTTGAAAAGGATAGTTCCCAGGACAACCCAGAAGAGATTACGTAAGATACACGACATTCAAACCCAATGGCCTTACTTCCACAATACGTAGGCTGGAAATGTCAAGAAGAAAAAAAGAAGTTGGTCAGCATCAGAGAGATTCAAAATAACTACTCAGAATCAGACGCTTTCAAGTTGGAAAAGGCTGCCATCTAATAGTTGTATTTCTCCTTCAACAGGAAGTTCACTATCTTGGGAGGCAATTCCATTGCTGGTCACCTCTGACCAGCATTAAATTCTTCTATTAAATCAAAATCTTGTCTTCCTGTAGAATCCACCTATTAGTCCTACTTCTGCTGCTTTCAAATCCAAAGATGAAGTGGAAGCCTTCTTCACCATAACAACTTTTTCAGTTTTTAAAGACAGTTCCCTTCATTTGCTCTTTTCTGGAATAAGCATCCAAATTCTTTCAAAGATCCTGAATAGGCTCCAGCTTCCTCAGAGCAAATCTAGTACTCAAAAGCAGGAAAGCACTTGAGATCAGTTGGCTTCAAACATCAGTCAGTATGTAGAGGATCCCCGAGGCGTAAGATAAAAACACCGATTTCCCAGGTTCCAACCCAGATTCTAAAAACGAGGTCTTATTTGAGTCCCCATGGTAAAGCATGCATCTCCAGAGCATTTCAAAGCAGAGGGTGTGAGAAGGGTAATTTGAGAAACACTGTCCTGTTTTACAAATGAGGAAACTGAGGCCCAGCAGAGGGATGGGATTTGGCCCAGAACGCACAATAGGTGGCGAAGTCTAGAACCCGGGTCCTTTACTCCCAAGCCCAACTCTGTTCATCAAGCTTCCTGGCCTTGGCTTCTCCACTCGGGGTAAACTCATTAAAAGCACAGGAGAGGCGGCCTCGAGCGGGGGACAGGAAGAGTTAGAGTGAGTCCTTGCCTGAAAAGGAGAGCTCCGTGAGGAGCCTTTTCCCGTTTCCGGGCCTCAGCTTCCCCAAACTGTAATCAAGGGACGGAAGACCACAACGCCAGCCCAACCTCTCTTCTGAAGCAAAGGGCTCGGGGCGGAACCAGGCGTGTTGTTTCTGCGACCCTGGATTCGGGTGTCGCAGCCCCTGGGCCCCGTGAAAGAGGAACCCTGTCCCTCGCCACTAAACCTCGATGGCCCTTACCTGGCCCCCTATCCCCACCAGCCCCCCTGGTACCTGCCGCTGCTCAGCTAACACCGCTGAGGACGATCCAACCTCTCCGTCCGTGGACTGTTCCGCCAGTCTGTCGGTACAGTCAGCCTCCCCGGCGGGACCTCGGAACCCTCTTACGCTGACTCTGACCACTTGACGTAGAACCGCCCACCTCTGAGATACTTCCGACCTCAACCGGAAGAGGTTGGTCCGCTCCGCTGTTCTCCGTGCCAATTCTCAGGCTCTAAGGTTCCGTCTGCGTGTAGAAAACAGAGAAATATAGGAGCTAACTGGCCGCTTTGCAAAAGTCCTCGGTCAGGGCAGGGAAAATACCAGGTAAGCTTGGAACATCTTGTTGCATCAGAATGTAAGGATGGGAATCCGAATGATGGAAATATCAGTCGGAGGAACTAACTCGAAGGAGATCCCGCTGGCCAAATCAGGGCAATTTTGGCATCAAAATAGGTAATGATAGCAAGAGTTTGACTAGTTGAACAAAGTGATAATCCACAAGTCTTTACTGATATAAATAATGTAGTGGATAAATAAATGGGAGAGAATGACAACTACCATGATGGAGTTAGAAAATCAATAATAAGTGGTAAAACTAGATGAACATAATGTTTTATGTAGTAAAATTGTCTCCCACGAATTACTTATAATTACAAAAGGAAAATAATACATCGACAGAAGTAAACCACAGAACAAGTGAATCAAAGTAATCAAAGTTAACACCGCCAGTTATAGGTCAAGTAGAGATCATGTGCTTCCTGATAAGGTGTGCAGAGAAGGATACACCATCTCTTCTCTGATATTTGTATCCAAAATGCATAACCCAAATCTCATTAGGAAGCATATAAACTAGAATCGAGGGACCCTGTACAAAATAACTGTCAGTATCATGAAAGACGTTTAAAAGCTGAGGAAATGTTCTGGTAAGTGATTCCAAATTGAATCACAACCAGGGAGGAGGGAGGGGAAAGAGAATAGATGTAATGGACAATATTGGGACTTGTGATGAAATTTGAATATGGATTGTGGATTAGAATATTATATCAATGTTAAATTTTCTAAAATTGATCATTGTATTGTGGTTATGTTAAGAAGATGTCCTTGTTCTTAGGATATTCACTGAAGTATTTAGGGGTAAAAGGGCACAATGTCTCTAACTTAATTTCAAATGACTCAAAAAAGATGCATATATTATATATAGAGAGAGAGAGAGAAAGAGAGAGACAACTAGAGAATGCTCAAGAGAGAATGGTTAAGCAAATGAGGCAAAATGTAAAGTGATGAGTCTAGGTTAAGGGTATATGGGAATTCCTTAGATAATTTTTGCAATTTTTTTCTTTGAGTTTGAAATGAAACAAAAATTAAAATTTACTCCCCAAATAGGGTAAGTGCCTGGGTCCTAGCCAATTCGCTTATATTCATTTATGTGCTAGGCACTGGTGATGTAATAAGAGACAATTCAAGACCTTTGCTTTCATGCCCAGAGGGAAAAATACTAGACATGCAATCACAGAACTAATGGAATACTTATCTTGAGTATAATAATAGCTGACATTTACTGAGCTTAACTGAGCACACTTTACACAATGGTTCATTTGATCCTCATAGCAGCCTTATGAATGGTTTTGGTGATTAGCTCCATTTTGTAAAGGGGTAAAGGAAAACTTTTAAAAGTTTACATAATTTTACCACTTAAGTTTTCAAATCACACATTGATAGATGGTGAAGCTGCAGTCATCACCAATAAGTTGTCCTCTGGAATCCTTGATGCCCATCTTCATTGTTTCATTAACCCAACAAACATTTATTAAGTGTCTACAGTAATCTCAGGGATTATATTAAGGGTTGGTTCTGAAAGTACTAGATGAAGTAAACTCATAGATGAAATTCCTCATCTGCCAGCTCTCTTCTCAGGTTCCTGAGTTCAAGGAGTAATACAAAGTATGTTTCCAGTCACATAAACATTGATTAGAGCCCAGGCTCCAATAAAAAGAAAAGTGGTTCCTGATGCCCAGGAGCTGGTCTGGCACTAGCAGGTAGGACTTGGTGTTCCGTTGAACCTGAAAAATGTCACAGAACATCAACATCAGGCAAGACAACTCTGTGACTGTGATAAAACAAGACAATAACAAGACCTTTCCATACTTATGTTTGAACCGGACAAAACATGAACATTGTCCAAACCACAAAAACAAAGTTACCTAACCTGACTTATATGGAGATTGCTGCTTATTTACCAATGCAGCTTTTGCCTCAGTCTAATCTTCCCTCCTTCTAAACAAGATTTATCAAGACACCCAATCATAGACAGTATCCAATCCAGATCAAAACCCTGCTACTTGCACTGGCTTGTGTGCCTCAGTGGGTTGAGCACTGGCCTTTGAACCAAAGGGTCGCTGGTTTGATTCCCAGTCAGGGCACATACCTGGGTTGCAGGGCAGGTCCCCGGTAGTGGGGCTTGCAAGAGGCAACCATACATTGATGTTTCTCTCCCTCTCTCTCCTTACTTTCCCCTCTGTCTAAAAATAAATAAATAAATAAATATATTTTTTTAAAAACCTGCTTCCTTCACTCTCCCCCAAATGCAATCATTCTGATGATTTAATTAAATCATTAAATCTCTCTAACACTCTGTTACTGGAATGCTTCATCGTTTCTCATGGTTCTCATCCTCCCCACATCCCACTGTAGGAAGTAAGAAACCCAACGTGCTCAACTTGTCCAACCACAGGTGTGTTCCTGGAGGTCTTTAATTGGAGGACATTGAAAGTGTCCATGCTCACTAGCTATGTGACTTCAGACAGCAGTTTCACTTACAGAAGCCTCTGTTTCCTCGTCTGGTAAAGAGCAAAGATTTAGTCCTACCTGAGAAGGTTGTTAAGGATGCAGAATAGGCTTAGCACTGAGTTAGCTCTCAGTATACTTTAAAAAATTCCTTCTTGAGCTATTGCCTCCTTCAAACAAGTCAGAGAGTAGCATCACTGTGAAAAGACATTGAAGCCATAAGCTTCAGTTGAGACCAACTTGCCGATCATATTCCCCTTTGCTCCTTTTGTTGGGTTTATAAGGCAGACTAAAGGTGAGAGCTCAACTTTTCCTTCATCAGAAATGAAATCATTCTCGTGGTCTCTTCGGGAAAGAGCTAACCACGTTCCTGAAGCTTTAATGGGAGGGAACCTGCACTGTTTATTTCTTCATGTTCTTGTTACTAAAAACTTTATCAAGAAATAACAGAATTGGAACTAACAGACTTGAAGAACTTCAGCTTCAAAAATGTATCAAGTAGTATCTTTTCTGCCTTTGCCCACTGACGTACTTACTGACCTCAGAAGCCCTGTTTGTGGTGTTTGCATTTCTCCTGCTAGAACCCAGCATGGGTTTCATATTATCTGATGTTTGCAACGAATTGTGCTGGGGGAAAAAAACAAACATTCCAGTGGGAAAGAATGAAATAACTAGAAATGTTCTGCTTTCTTTCTCTGATTGCTCTGAGCATCTGAAGGGTTCTTTCTCACTTAAATAGCCCTAACCTTCCTCCTGCCCCACCCCCACTGACCCCTCTAACGCTGATACTAATAATGACAGCTACTATTTATTGAGTGTTTATTAATGTGCCACGGGGCTTTATGCAATTTAACCTTCACTCCAAATGATGAAGCAAATAATTGTATAGGAGGAACATGAGGCCCAGAGAAGTTAGGCAACATACTCAAGGCCACACAGCTGGTAAGAATGTCTCAAGATTGAAATCTGCCTGCAAAACCTGTTCCTGTTGAAATGCTGCTCACCAGCCTGGGCCAGAGAGTGGGGTCTGGGAAGGGATGGAGGCAGGGACGGGGCTGGAGAGGAAGGAAAGTCTGGGGCAGTGGGTGTGGGAGGCCGTGCGGAGGCATTCAGATCCTTGCCAGGGTGCAGAGGAGCGTGGTGGAGATTAGAAGCACAAGAGAAATAGAAGGCCATTGCAGAGCTTCATTTGGAGGGAACAGGGACCCGAGTCAAGGGTTTAGGGGAGGGGAGGGTTGAATACTGGGAAAAGGCAAGTTACTGCGTGGGAGCGGGGTGTGATTAACAACCTGAGGCCTCAGGTGTATATCTGCCAAGTGAGGAGAGACAAAGAATCTGGGGGACCTTCTGGCCCCCCCAGAACCTGGTTAAGACCCATAGGTTCCTGCCCTTCCCTGGGCCCGTTTTCTTCTCTGTTTGATGCGGGGAGAGAAGATCCCAGGAACCAGCCCAGCTCTGGCAGGTGGTGAGGAGGTGGCATCACTTTTGCTCCAGTCTCCTCACCCGACGTGGGGTTGAAGGGGCTGGGATGGGGTATCTCAGTAACAGAGGGTTAGAACGGACATTTTGGATTTGGGCTTGTGTTAGGCAATTTGAGGGAAGGGTAGGGAAGCAAGGTTTTGATCTGGGCTGTCTCCATCCCACGTTGGCATTAGTCTGCCCTTTGGGGTATGGGAAACTCAGAGAGGAAGACCATGCATGCAGACAAGAGGGGAGAATAAGTCAGAAGAAGCACCCCCAAATTCTCAACCCCAACCTTTCCATGGAAGAGGTGAGCCAGTTAGGAGCATGGCCTCACTGGTTACCCAGCCCGGGACAAATGTGCAAATCCTCGCTGTGTGCCTTCAGGCACGTTACCTAAGCCTTGGACCTCAGGTTCCTCATTCCGTGTATGTGGGTCCTAGGGTTAGGCTGAAGCCCACTGCCACCAAGTTTCCCACCCCAGGACAGCTCAGGGTCCCTTAATCCTGCCTCCCACTGGGGCCTAGCCCAGGGCACTGTCTACATGGTGGCCCTGCTGGCCAAGGGCAGGGCCTCACTTGGGTCAGGGGCAGAGTGAACCAGCCTGACTTCCTAGGTTCGAGTCTGGATAGGATTATCTGTTTAGAGACATGGTGGTAAGAGGGCCATATTCTGGAATCTTCTAAGAGCTGGGTCAGGAGGACCCCATCCCTGAGAATTAGTCTTTTTACCAGAGTATTCTGGGATATTCCCGACACAGCTGGGGCATGGACAAAAATCTAGACAACCAGGGGAGGGGAAAACTAGTGAAGGAGAGGAAAGTCTGGAAGGCATTAAGCATTTATGGGTCTCTTCCTGGGCGATGTGGGGAAGGAGGCAGGGCACTCCCTGAGCAGCCTGTCTGCCCTGCAGGCAGGGGGCCCAGGAAGGAAGGAATGTTTGCTTAGGGCTTACCCCATGTCAGGGATTATGGAGAGATCTTTTTCTTGTGTTTTTTCAGTGAGTCCTTTTAATAGATCACCGAGGGAAGAATTTTTGGCCGTGTTACAGAAGAGGAAGGTGAAGCTCAGCGAGGTGAAGAAATGTGGTCAGTGCCATGCACCGAGGAAGCAGGGCTGGATTTCGTGCTTCTGAGTCCTGGAGGATGAGCTAGAAGTTGGGTGGCCAAATGAAACACAGGATGCCTGGTGAAATCGAATTCCATAGACACGACAAATGTGACATTCTTATACTAAAAAAGTATTTGTTGTTTATCTGAAATTCAAACATAACTCAGTGACTTTTATTTTTGCTAATCTAGACGGAGGGGATGCCCATGGCTGCCACAGCCAGGACCGCCAGAACTTGGGACTGTGGGGTTCAGAAAAGAAGTTTGAATGACAGTGCAGTGCCCTCTAAGGTCTTGGGGAGAAGGCAGGCCTAGGTACCAAGGACAACTGGTGCCTGCCACCTGCTGCCTGGCCACCAGGGGGCAGCCAAGGTCTGCACAGCTTCTGATCTGAGGACTGGAAACTTGTCCGGAACAACAAAGACCTAAGGGACAAAGATCCTCAGACTCTCAGACTTTCCCCACCCTGCACCTCATCTATTCACCTTCAGCCTCCCCCATACCAGAAAATTTCCCCACCCACTGTCCACCCATGGGCAGGCCAGAAACCTGGGAATGAACTCTTTTTCTCAAGACTTGTAATTTACATACAAAACGGTCAAGTCTTCCTTGTTCAGCTCCATGAATATTTACATACCCACCTATGTAATCATCACACAGATAAAGCTACAGAGCTGCACTGCACAATACAGTGGACTTTAGCCTCAGGTGGATGCTGAGTGCTGGAAGTGTGGAATCTGAATTGAGATGCGTGATAAGTATGAGATACTCTTCAGATTCCAAACACTTGGTATAAAAAGAATGTAAAGTAGCTCAATAATTTAAAAATATTTATTACATGTTGAAATAATAGTTTACACATGGATCATTTATAATATCTTATTAAAATTTATTTTACCTATTTTTTAAAGAGAAAGAAAACATCAATTTTTTGTTGTTCCAGTTATTTATGCATTCATCGGTGGCTACCTGTATGTGCCCTGACTGGAGACTGAACATGCAACCTTTGCGTATTGGGACCATGCTCGTAACTAACTGGCCAGGGTTCACCTGTTTTGTTTTGTTTTGTTTACTTTTTTAAAAATATTTTTAATTTATTTTTTAGAGAGAGGAAAAGGAAGGGAGAAGGAGAGGAAGAGAAACATTGATGAGCGAGAGAAACATTGATCGGTTGCCTCTCGCATGACCACAGCTGGGGACCGGGCCCCCAGCCCAGGTATGTGCCCTGACTGGGAATCAAACCAGTGACCTTTCGGTTTACAGGCTGGTGCTCAATCCACTGAGCCACACCAGCCAGGGTGGTTTCTTTTACTTCTTAAACTGTGACTAGAAAATTGAAAATGACTTCTGTGGCTCACATTGGAGTTCTTTTGTTTAGCACTGGGGTAGACAGAATGTGATTAATTCACCTGTAAAATAGGGACTCAGAGAAGTGGACTCATTGGCCGATGTTTACATTGCCCAACTATGGTAGAATTGGGTGGGAAATTAGGTCAATTTGAACTCTTGAGTCCATGGCTCCCCACGGTGTCCGTCCCCCACCAGCCTCCTGGCCTGAATGAATGCTATTTGAGCTCTTCCAGGGTCATATCTCATTTGAGACTTCAATCAGTCCTCAGTGGAGACCTAAAGTACCTCTGGACATCCTGGATTGGGGGTGTCAGGGGAAGAGGGCTTCCTGTAGGAGGTGATTAAACTGACACTTGAAGGATGAGTAGGAACAGACCAGGTGAAAGAGAGGGAAGAATTTTAGGTGAAGGTATTACAGAACAAGAGGTCCGATGGAGGGGCAATACAATATTTGGCCCACCTAGGGATGCCAAAAACTGCTACACAACAGGGGCCCCTCCCAAGGACAAAATACTAATATCTACTGGGCTCTTCTGTCCGCCGCCAATTGGAAAGACATCTCTCAATGCCAGAGATTTGTGAAAAGGAAACAAAATGTTTATTTAATGCTATTTAGGCTTAATGCCTCCACTAAAATATCAAAGTATTTTAGGGTATACACCTACACCCACAAAGTGCTCCCTTCTCCTGCTGTCCCAGCTCCGGGTACCGTAAATCGGGAAAAGAGCACACGTCTGTTTTTCAGGCCGCTGGCACCATCAGCTGTGTCAGGCAGGATCCCTCTCTAGTTAATCCAAAGTACTGTGGTACCCTCTCATGGTCCACTGGCAAGAGTTCTTTGTACCCAGTTCCAGTCAAAGTCTCTCCTGCTTTCCAGGCCACGCGGCCAAAGGGAGCACCCCAAAGACGCATGGGCCTCTTCTACCAAAGCTGCAGGGGTTCACACTCCACCAAAAGCATGTGGCTTTCTTCTTCACCTGGCTGCAGGGACCTCCATTCTGGCAAAGCTGCGTGGTTTTTCCCTTTCACCTGGGAAAGAGGGGGTCCGCACTCTGCCAAAACCATGTGGCTCCCTCTTTCACCTCACCAAGAGGGGGTCCTCACTCTGCTGAAACTGCGTGGGTCTCTCTCTCAATGGCTGCTGTGTCTGGCTTTTATTTTAAATCCTCGCACCCATCTTCCTCTGTGCCCCTATTTCCGACTCCTCCCAAGATCAGTTACACCTGCCAGTATTTCTATATTAATACAAGTTTACTGGGCTGCCATCGTTAGTCTGGGCAGTAATCATCCCATGTCCTCGAGCCAATCTTCTCCAAGCCCCTACGCAGGCGCTGTAAGTTGGGGGACCTGCCCCCAGTTACATCTTGGGGGAGTGACTTCATCCCCCTAGCTCCAAGCCTGGCCACAGCCATTTAACATATCCAAGTGACCCGCCAAAGGCTATAGATATGTTAAAAGACAATGCCATGGATTAGCTGCAAGGCTGTGGCTGTACAAAACAGCCCTGCATGTTCCTGCTCCATGTGTCCCTTCCCCCCAACTCACACCTGTGGGAGGGGGGAAGGGGTGAGGACATCTTATATGTCTCTCCAATATTCCCATACACTTTGAATTCTGGACACCATTCCAAATCTTTTTTGGGGGGTCCCCCATGGCTGCACCCTGTATCAAAGGGAACAGTGTGCACAAAGGCCTTAAGAGGGCCTGGTGATTGAGGAAGTAAGAGTAGCTCTGTGTGGCTGCAGCAGAGAAGTGGGGAGCTGGTGAGGTCCGTCAGGCTCAGATCCTGCAAGTCATGACAGGCTTCAACCTGATGGTCAGGGGAGGGACGGGCAGACTGACCGAGCTTGCTATTTGGAAAGATCAGGACCGCTGCTATTTGGAGAACCCTTATTCTAAGACAGAAAACAGAGAGCCAGAGAGGAAGAGGGCTTGTCGGTATCATACAGTGAGTCAGAGGGTAGAGCCCAGACCAGAAAGACCAGGCAGGTGCAAGAAGGGACCAGGAAAGGAGCAAAGAGCCCTCCTCTTTCGAGTTTTTCTAAGAGGTGCTGACTTTGAATGCCCACTAGGTGGCAGCAGAGGCTGGGCTAAATTCTGAGCGCTACCACCATGGCCCACCCTGCTGTCCCCACAAGCCTTTCTGCTTTCATTTGCCTGGTCTGGGCATTAAGGGGCTGCTCCCTGGACCTGAGCAGACATTTCATAGAGTTCATACAGACGGCCAAGAGATGTATGAAAAGACACTCAATGTTACTAATCATCAGAGGAATGCAAATTAAAACCACAGTGGCCCCTGGCTGAGTGGCTCAGTTGATTGGAATGTGTCCTCTACACCAAAAAGGTTGAGGATTCTATTACTGGTCAGGGCACATACCCAGGTTACAGGTTCAATAGCTGATTGGGGCACAAGTAGGAGGCAACTGATCGATGTTTGTCTCTCTCTGAAAGCAATAGACATGTCCTCCGTAAAATGGTGCAGCCACTCTGGAAACAGTCTGGCAGTTCCTCAAATGGGTAAAGAAAGGTGCCCCAGCAGTTCCACCCCTAGGTGTGTGCTCAAGACAGATGTTCACACAAAAGCTTTTACATGAATGTTCATGGCCCTAAAGCAGAAACAACCCAAGTGGATACATGTGGTTATCCATACAGTGGAGTATTACCCAGTCATAAAATGGAATGTGGTACTGATACCTGCTACGATGCAGGTGAACCTTGAAAACGTGATGCTAAGTGAAAGAAGCCGGGCCCCAGGGGATCATGTACTGTGTGAGACCATCTGTATGGAATGTGCAGAACAAGCAACTCCGTGGAGACGTGAAGTAGATTAACGGGTACCCGGGGCTAGGAGTTGGGGCGACGGTGGAATGACTGTTACCGGTCACAGGATTTCTTTTGGGAGTGATGAAAATGTTCTGGAATTAGGTAATGGTGATGGTTGCACAACGATGAACACACTGAAACACTAAATTGTACACTTTAAAGGGGTGAATTGTGTAGTATGTGAATTATAGTACAATAAAGCTTTTTTTTTAAATGATCAGATGGCATTGCACTCATTTGAAGGCTTGATCAGGGCTAAAGGATCTGCTTCCAAGTGTGTCTCTTACATGGCTGTTGACAGATGCCTTCAGTTCCTCGTCGCTGTGGCCTCTTCGCAGGGCTGTTGAGTATCCTCGTGACATGTCAACTGGCTTCCCCAGAGCGAGAGGGAGCAAGCAGGAAGGCACGGTGTTTTATATGACTTAGTCTCAGAAGTTACCTCGCTTCTGCCACATTTTACTTGTTAAAAGCGAGAGACTAAGTCACGCTGAAGGGGAGAGGGAACAATGTCCACCATTAAAAGGGACAAGTAGCAGAAACTCTGTGCATATCGTTAAACCACCACAGCTTCTGATGCTGCTCAGCTGTGCAGAGTGAGTCCTGTAATCTCTGACTTTCCATCTCTCTTCTATTGCTAGTTTATTTTTTAAAGATTTTATTTACTTATTTTTAGAGAGGGAAGGGAGGGAGAAAAACATCAATGTGTGGTTGCCTCTTGCTCGGGTGCCTGGTGCCCCTACCGGGGACCTGGCCTGCACCCTAGGCATGTGCCCTGGTCTGGGAATCAAACTGGCGACCCTTTGGTTCATAGGCTGGCACTCAATCCACTGAGCCACACCAGCCCACACCAGCCCACACCAGCCAGGACTTCTATTCCTAGTTTGTTTGTTTTTTTTAATTCATTTATCTTTAGAGGGGAAGGGAAGGAGAGAGGGAGAGAAATATCATTGTATGGTTGCCTCTCATGTGTCCCCCACTGGCAACTGGCCTGCAACCCAGGCATGTGCCCCAACTGGGAATTGAACCACAATCCCTTAGCTCGCAGGCCTGCGCTTAATCCACTGAGCTACACCAGCTGGGGCCGCTTCTATTCCTAGTTTAATAAATTGTTAAATTGAATCTACTATGTTACTTCCTATTTACCAAGATGTCTCCTTTTAGACATAGTAGGGCTCAGTGTTTATTCTCTCAGGGCTGGGCTTTGTTTATACCTGGTGTGCTAGGGGCTGGACTCCTCCCTGGAAATCCTATACCCAGAGATTCTTACTCCTCAGCCCTGGCATCTCAGATGCCAGACTCTATCTGCCCCATTGGGTTTCCTTTCCTGGTCTGCAGCGGGAGCTGCCTCAGACAAATGGGTGGGTAAGTTCCCACATGGGGCAGCCATCAGCATCCGCAGCAGCACTGGAGTGGGTACCACTGTCTTCCTGGGCAGCCCCCAACCAATGACTGTGCTCAGCCAGGGCACTAGGGCCTGGCCATTTCTGCCCAACTGCAGCTCCTGGGAGGGCAATCTTTGCATCAGAATTCCCTGTTGATGCTGAGATTTTCTTGGCAAAGCCCTGCAGTGTGAGGCTCTTTTCTTATGCAGGCCTCCTTCCCTTCTCCTCTGTCCTCATAGATGTCAGATCTGCAACAGTTTGAAGGCTCTCCCTGCCCACTCCTGCTTTCTCCCTCTTTAACGTTCACAGGCATTTCCCCCAATAAATCTCTTGCGCTCCCAGCTTAGTCTTGGTTGTGGCTTCCTAAAGGACCCAACTGACGCCCAGCCCTGGCTCCTCTGGGCTGCCAGACCCCGGGGGATGCGTTTTCTCTTTATCCAAGTTTTTTGAGCATGCTCTGTTGCCCTTCCCTTCCTCTCTCGCTCTGGCCAGGGTATTGTTCTGTGCCTGGCACATAGTAAACACTCAGTAACTATTTGTTTTTGAATGAATACAGAATGTGCTGGAGCTGGGCACTGCCCGCACCATTCTCCGGGCACACAGAGCTGCAGAGCCTTCTGGTGGGACGGGGAGGGCCAGCACCAAGGGGCAGAGGGAGGGCACCCTTCAGGCAGTGGAAAGGAAGGCCCTTCAGTGGGGAGTCTGGCAGAGGGGAGCCAAGAATCTTCTGGGACCAGGGAAGGCCCTCCCCGCACTCCAGGGCTAGTCTGGCCTGGCCTCCTCCCATCCACTCTGTGACTCTGGCAAATCCCTTTTCTTCCAGGGCCTATTCATCCATCTCCACAGTGGGATGGAAAGCCCTGCCCTGCCTGTTTGCAGAAGGGACAGGGGTTGTGAGCATCAGATGGAGTCACGGCTGGGAAACGTGCACAGGAAGTGGGGGGGGGGTATGCCAGGTCCTGGGCCTGGGGCCAGGGTGTGGAGGGGCAGAGCAGACCGAGAAAGAAGGAGGAAAGAAGAGTTCGGAGAGGCAGATACACACACAAACAAAGAACAGAGAAAAGTATGAGAGATAAACAGAATGAATGAGAGAATCAAAAGACACAAAGAAACAGAAAGAGGAAAACTGAGAAGAGAGGGAAAGAAGATGAGAGAGGGTGGGAGAAAAATTAAGGAGGAAGAGAGAGAAAAATAAAATAGAGGGACAGTGAAAGAACCCTGGCTGGTGTAGCCCAGTGGATTGAGTGTGGGCTGCGACAAAAGATTGCAGTTTGATTCCCCATCAGGGCACATGCCTGGGTTACAGGCTGGTTCTCAGCAGGGGACACATGAGAGGCAACCATATATTGATATTTCTCTCCTTCTCTCTCCTTTCCTTTCCTTCTAAAGATAAATAAACAAATAAAATTTTAAAAGAGTGAAAGAGAAAGGTAAGAAAGAAATGGAGAGAGAAAATAGGATAGAGAGTCAGAGCCAGAGAGAGAAAGATGGAGAGAGTGAGGGATGGAGGAGACAGAAAATTAGGAGAGTCAGAATCAGAGAGGAAAAGAGACTAAGAGTGAGAGAGATGAGAGAGAGAGAAGCCAAAAGGAGGCAAAGAGTGATGGGGACTGACAGGGGAGACAGGGAGGGAGGAGGAAACAGCTTCTCCCATGGCCCCCCACCCATCACTCCCTGCCTGCACCCCCCTGCCCCACCCTGGTTGGGGGGGCCCAGAGTAAAGCGTTGCCCCCTTCTGTCTGTGGGGCCCAGCCTGCTCTGTCCTGTCCTGCTGGCTTGGCTCCTGTCACCCTCTGCTGCAAGGCCTTTGTGGGGCACCTGGTGGAAGGCAGGGCCCCAGAGCCTGTTCTGTAGGCTGACTGACGTGGCCGCCGGGTGGAATCTGAAGGGAAAACCCAGTGACGTCCTCCCTCTGGGCCTGGGCAGGACCCAGCCTGCTTCCTTTTGGGGCCCAGACAGGAAGGAACCTCAGAAATCAACTTCACTGTACCCCTACTGAACAGAGGGGAAAACTGAGGCCCAGAGAATGTGCAGGGACAAACCAAAAGGCACATAGCCAAGCAGTGGTCTATCGGGACTAGCTGTCATGAAGGCTTGGAGACTTTCTCCTGAGTGAATTGCTTTCTGTCCAGGGGTGTCCTGAGGCTTTAGTGACAGTGTTTCAGGTGATAGTCACAGTGCTGAGAGTCTTTCTGAATATCTACAAAGTGACTACTGTAATTATGCCCATCGTACAGATGAGGAAACTGAGTCTCACAGAAGTTACGACTTCTAACCCTAAGGTCACACAAGCTAGGTCTGTCTGACCTTGGAAGTCGGGTTCCTGCCGTGGCACCTCCCAGCCTCCCTGTGTGATGTGCAGGGAAGGGCCCTATAATATGGAAAACGGGGACAGAGGTGGGTTCCTACAATTGGGGAAGGTTACTGGAACGATAATTCTTCCCAGAGGTACCCACCTTTGTTCTGTTCTGTCCTGCTTTTGGGAACCAGGCCTCCTTAGCCTTCCCAATACCACTTGCTCTACTCCACACCCCCTTTCCCAACCTCTGGAAATAAGGAGCTTGGTTCGTAGGCGTCCCTGACCCTCTCTCACTTCTCTTTATTATCCCTAGCAATGACATTCTGGGCCACAGGTCCAGGCTGGTTCAGAGCCACAGAGATGGGCTGTATATCCTGCAGCACCCCCTCCTCTGAACAATGAGCTCTTCCTCCCTGCTCTACCCCTGGCTCTGCCTCACTGGGCGCATCCTTCTGGGAGAGACTGGGATGGAGGTTGGTGGGGAGAATGTTGTGAGAGCAGCAGACTGACGGGCAGATGGATAGACAGGTCAGCGTCCCAGCAAAGCCCCTCAAGAGTTGTACTCCTGGCCTCTAACCCTTCGCCAGCTGGGGCCTGTCACCTGAGGTTTCCACACCTTCATCGAGCCTCAGTTTCTTCATCTGTGCTGTGGGTAGAAGCACATCAGCTTCTCTGGATGGTTGGATGCTGAATGATACATTGGCTTTGGGACATAGAAACATGTGCAGCGTATAGCCTGACCAATGAACCACCCCTGTCTCTTGGCAGACACGATGCCTGCTGTGTCCTCAAGGCGGCCATAGTCCAGGGATGGAAGTGGCTGAAGATTTAGCTTCCTTGGCCACCCTGTGCTCCTCTGGGGGCCAGAGTCCCTTCAAGTCCAGAGCATCAGCCCTGCCCCGCGTTGCTCTCAAGGCCTGCTCCGGCTGTGTCTCCAGCCACTGTCAGTCAGACCAGGAGCTAGGCCTGTGCCTGGAGTCCCAGGAAGTGGGGAGCGCAGGGATACTGTCCCCTGGGAATGCCAAGAGTCATTCTAAGAGCCAGCACCTGGTGGGAGCACTTTAGGAGGCCAGAGCATAGCTGCCCCCTTTCCCCAAAGCCTCCCCTTTCCAGAATTTGGGTGTGGGTAGACACAGAGCCTCAGCCCCGCCCTCACCTCTTTCATCCAACTGTGGCCGAGGCCAGTGGTACCCTGCCAGCTTCATGGAGGCGGGTGTGCGGCAGCCACTACTGGGGAAGGGGATGACGATGCCTCCTCTGAGCCTCTGAGCCACCGTTCTTCCCTGGGGAGGGCTAGAACTCTCCTGCCCCACCCCCACCCTCCGTCCCGGAGGCCTAAGGCTTTGGCTCCCAGAGTCCCCACCCAGGCCAGCCCGCAGCAGGGGACAGGATGGGAAAGCAGGTTGAGTGGGGGCGTGGGCCTCGGCAGCACTCTCAGCCAATCAGCGTCCTGCCGAGCCGGTGGATTCAGTTACAAGCTTGTGATCACCCCATACTCCAGCCTCCTGCCTACTCCTCCCAAAGCGCCACTCATTGACCCTGCTGCACCGGGTCTGCTGGGCATCGTTTCCGCTCAGCTCTGAGCTGCTGCCTCATGGGCTGTCAGGGATGAGCGCCCCATCCTGGGGACTTTGCCTGACAGGGATGGGCCAGGGTGGAATGGGGACTCTGGGAGTGCTACTGGGGGTGCTGAGCTTCCTGAGGGCTACTCTGGGGGGCTCTTCTGCCCTCCACTGGTACAACACCTCCTGCCACTTGGCCAGGCCCACCCCCGGCAGCCCCTTGGGGTCCCTAAGCTTCCTGGGCACAGATGCCCGGGGACTGGCCCTGTTTCATGCCCACTGGGACGGGCACGGGAGGCTGCAGGCATGTAGCCGGCAGGACAAGCCAGAGCTCACTGCAGCTTTCAGGGCCCTCTGTGCCAGCGAGATCACCCAGGGCTTCTTCATCCACACCCCTGGACCTGAGCTGCGGAGAGCCCTGGCCACCCTCCAGAGTCAGCGGGGGGCCTGCCCACCGTCCGAGGAAAGTGCAGCAGGAGCGAGGGAGAGGCGAGCGGCAGGGCAGAGCGGAACACCTGGCGCGGCGCACCAGCGGGGGAAGAGGGGCTGGACCGTGCCTGGCACGCTGTGGTGCGGGGTCGGAGACTCCGCCGGGAGCTCCACGGAGCTGGGTGAGCCGAGGGCGTGTGGGCTCGGTGGCTGAGGTGGGGGAAGTTCAGCCTTTCGCCCTGGCCTCCGCTCTCCCAGGCTGTGCGTCCCCGGGGGTGGGGGCGGGGGTGACTTGACACTGTGAACTTCAACGTCCTTATCCGTAAAATGAGAGTGGCCACAAGCTTCACTGTGGGATGCTTCCGTGAGGTCATAGATGGAAAAGGCCCTGCTCATGCCTGGAGTCCCCATTAGTCACCATCCCAGGGAGAGGGCAGGCTGGGGTGGGTCCGGGGTCAGCTGAGCCAGAAAGCTATTTCCTAAGAGGAGGCTTTGGGAGCACAGAGTGCCCAGCGGAGCGGAGGATGAGACCCAAAGGCCTGGGCTCAAATACCAGCGTGGTACATTCGTGCTCTCTGAACCTCAGTTTCCTCACCCGGACAATGGAAGTGGACACCTTTCCTGAAGGGCTGCCGTGAACTTGGGTGGGAGACCTGTTGGGCACGTGGGGGAAGGTTCCGTAAAAGGTGCTGTTGCTCAGATGGTGGAAAACAAATGGCTGTTTTTGCAGTCTCGGCGCAGCTGTCTGTGCGTACGGGGGGTGTCGGGGGAGGACTTGGCACCTGAGCTGGAGCAGGTTGGCACCCTGACAGTGCTTCAGCACGCCAGCAAGAAAGGTTCCACCCGCCTGTTTGTCATTCCATTCCACACACATTCGTGGCCTCATAGTTGTGTCTGGGCGTGAGCTTGGGTCTGCCTCCAGACTCCTCCTGGGAAGATCTTTCCGTGGGCAAGGGCTCCTGGGTAGGCTGGCCTGCTTTTGAGCTGCCCAGCGGAGGCTGTGCCTAGGTGCCCTCCTTTAGCTTCAAAACTGTGAGTCCTGCAGAAGCCAAGTGAGTGGCCTGAGGCCAGCCAGGGCTGGGGTGAGAACCAGGTCTCTGCTCCCGACATCAGATGGGCATAGCTGGTGTGGTAGCCAGGACCCTGCTGAGCTGGTGCCCTCTCTGCTCCCTGCAGGGGTCTTCCGGGGCCCTGATCTCTGCTGCCGGGAACACGACCGCTGCCCACAGACCATCTCACCCTTCCAGTATGACTATGGCATCCGAAACTACCGATTCCACACCATCTCTCACTGTGACTGTGATGCCAGGTTGGCAGGGGGCAGGGGGCGCAGGGGTGGGGCAGAGTCACAAAGTTCCTGGGTGTGGACACTCGGGTTCATGTGAATCTTAAAGGATCAGACAGGCTGGAGCCCACTGTGCAGGTGGGAAAGCTGAGGCCCGCATGGAGAAGGAACTCTTGGACCCCAAACTACCTGGTTGGTAGTGGCCAGGGGGGCTTGGGGAGGAGCCAGGTGGTCCTCCGTGGTCCAGGGACCTGAATGCGGACTCTGGGGCAGGTTCCAGCAATGCCTGCAGAAGCAGCAGGACGCCATCTCGGATATCGTGGGCGTGGCTTTCTTCAATGTGCTGGAGATCCCCTGCTTTGTGCTGGAGGAGCGGGAGGCCTGCGTGGCGTGGTACTGGTGGGGCGGGTACGTAATGCCCCCTTTGAGCCCTTTCCCAGGGAGGGAAGCTGTATGTCTGTCCTCCAGGGAATGATGCCTCATCTTCTCCGTCCTCTCCTCAGGGCAGGGCCAGGATGTAGCCCCTCCTTGGGTGCCCCATACCACCCGGTGGGATGTCTGGGCTGGGGGCTGACAGAGCCTTGGTCTCCATGGAGTTGAACCTGGGAGGCTTTTTGAAGGGAGGATTTTGAGTCACCAATTGCCATCAATTGCCACCTCCTAGGTGTAGAATGTATGGCTCCATACCCTTTGCCCGCCTCCAGCCCAAGACACTCTACAACGCTTCCTGGAGCTCCCCAGCCATCCCTGTGACTCCTAACCCCCAGAGTCCAGCCCCCAGCAAGTCACGACAGAAGCATCACCCTCAGAAGTGGCCACCACAGCAAGAAGGGTCCCAGCACCCCAGCAAAGACAGTGCCACAGCCCTCCAGGCCACCATGGCCTCCCCTAAGCCAGATGTGGCTCCCACAGCCCAGCTGGATGTAACCCATTCAGGCCTTCAGGGGCCACAAGGTGTCCTAAAACCTCAGGGTGAGCTCAGAACCTAACTCTGGTGTGAGGAAGTATCCCTGCCTCTGTGCATGTGTGTGTGCCCTATGTTACTGCCTTTCCTGCTCCAAACTCTTCCTGGGGTCTCCCAACTTCTCCCATCAAACCAGGCTGCAGCAGAGGAATTTTTGTACACTCCAGACTTGACAATGTCACTCCCCTCTGAGCCACTACCATGGCTCCTCTTACCTCAGCTGACAATGTCCCATCACCCTGGGGCCCTCGGGCACTGGTTCTGCAGACTGTACCCCTCTGTCTAAACTGTACTTTCACAAATAAACTTTACTGTCATTTGGTTCCTCAAAAGCAGCTTGCTCTCTCCCGCCTCTGGACCTTTGCACGTGCTGTGCCTTCTGCTTGGGGCACTCTCCCCTCCTTTTTTTCTCGCAGCCTCTGCTTAGCAGCCACTGCCTGCAGGAAGTCTTTTCTGACCGTCCTCAGCACTCCGGACCTCCACCACGGCAACACCGCTGCGTGTGTGTCCCACGTGTGTGACACCGTGAGGTCACGCAGGCATGAGATGGAAGGAGCCTGTGAGCCTGTGTGTGCGTGACTGAGTCCATGTGCTGGTGTTTCTTCTGGGTGGCAGTGGGTGTCGGTGGGGCTGCCCTGGGGGACTGGGCTCCCCTCACCACCACACCGCCCCCAGGCGCCCACCAGGCCTGCCGAGGCTTCCGCCACCTGGACCAGTGTGAACACCAGATCGGGCCGCAGGAGACCAAGTTCCAGCTGCTCAATGACTCCCCAGAGCCCCTCTTCCTCTGCAACTGCACACGCCGGTGAGGCCTGCTTGGACCCTCGGGGGTGGGCTGCCTGCTGCCAGGCGTTGGGAAGGAGCCCTGGCTGGCAAGCCGTTGCCCTGGCGTAAGCCTGCCTCTGCCCTCAGGCTAGCCCGATTCCTGAGGCACCACAGCCCACTCACAGGTGCCAACATGCTTTTGGACCTTCTGGGTACCACCTGCTTCAAGCTGGCCCCTCCACTGGCCTGTGCTGAGAGCAAAGAGTAAGTGACAGCCGAGCCGGGAGGGATGGATGGTTTTCTCAAGGGGGTGGGTTGCCTCTACGCACCTCCTTTCACCTGGGCCAAGGTGGTGGGGGAGGGGCAGGAACCTCTGAGCTCCATTGCCATCCCCCCTGGTGCCTGGCTTCAGCTCTGTTGTTGGTCCATTGGGGCTGCATCTTGACCCTGTCATTTACTTCCCATGTGGCCTGGCAAGTTGAGTCGCCTCTCCGCCCCTCTATTTTCTCATTTGCAAAATGGCTGTAGAAGCCAAGGAAATGGCGTGTGTGATGCTCCCCATCTAAGGCCTGAGGGCATGTAGCAACGTGCTTGTTTGACTCAAAATCCCATTTCAGTTCTGATTCTCAAAGCCGGCCCCTTGTTACTTTTCTTATTTCACAGGTGAGGAAATGGGCCCAGAATGGCCCGGGTGTATGCATCCAGCCAGTGGCCGAACCAGGCCTCTAGGTGCTGCCCAGCTTTATTTTACCCCCTTCTGGTCTAGCCACCCCTCCCTGGCTCCAGCGCTGCCCCTCTGGGGCTCTGTTCCTGTATCTGCACAGTGGGGTGGGATTCTTGGCAGTCATGACCACCTGCCCCACTTTTCTCTTCCCACAGTTGTTCTGGGGGCCCTAGGGCCATCAAGGTATCAGCTCGGCACTTGTGGCAACTTCAGCAGAGGACACTCTGGAGTACAGGCAGAAATGAGAGGCAGGCATGGCCTTCAAAGCACCCAAGGACCCCCATGTCATTCTATGACCGGTGCCTGCAACTGACTCAGGCAGCCTGAGGACCCAAAGAACAGCAAAAATCCTGGAACCAGTGACCTCAGTTCCAGCTTTTATGGGCACCAGACTGGACCTTGCCCTTGACTTTGCCAGGCCCTGGGGGTCTCAGCCTCCTCTCCATGTTATGCTGAAGCATATGGCACAGGCTCTTGTGACAGCCAGGAGGCTGGACTGGGAAGAGGGGCCCGAGGCCCAAATGCTGGCCCGTGTCTCCCGCTGTGCTGCGTGATCTTGGGCTGGTGATCTGTTTTTGGACGTGGTATTCGGGAGGCTCGTGCTGATGCCTGGGGCTTGGACCTTGCCAGGGAAGGAACTTCACTGCAGACAGGAGTGGGGAGAGGGAACTAATGCAGCAGCCTCAGGAGACACTAGGAGAAGGTGCATGTAAGCTCATGTTGCAAAGGGAATACATGTCTCAAAGGCGTGTCCGGGGCGCCTGAGTGCCTGAGGCCTGATGCAGCAGGTAGGGAATGAAGGGCGCCACAGAGATGTCTGTGTCAGAATCGAAGATGGGGTGCACTAGAGAGGGACTTCCCAGCCCCCTCTCCCGGGGGGTCCCTTCTTAATAGCTACTGTGCCCTTCCTGGCCCAGCCCTGGCTCACTATTTCTGCCCTAAACCTCAATTCAAATCTCCCCTGTGCCGTTGATTGAGGGACCTCCTTCCCTAACTCTGAGTCCTTTGGTTTCCTCCTTTAAAAAGACCAGTATAAACAGGACCTACCTCATAGTGTTGTTGAGGGTAAAATGAACAAACGCAGAGCCAGTGCTTAGGACCTCATAAATATTCCCTACCTCTAACACACTGCCAAACCATGATCGCGGGACTTCCTGGAGGCTTCCGCTTGCTCACCTGTGAAATGGGGCTAAGGATGGTGCTCAGGGTCGTGGTGCAGATTAAAGGAGATGGCATGTGTAATGCATACAGCTGGTGCCTCATAATTGTCAGATCTGTCATCCTCCACTTTAGTCCCTTTCTCTGACTACCCCTACCCCCAGAGTGCTAACCAGTTAAGAAGGAGTCAGGAATGAGGCTAGAGAATTTAATTCCTAATCAGCGACCTCTAGAATTGCCCCGCCCCTCCATCCCAGATGGGGGTCTACATAGGGCTTTGCTGATTGTCACAGTTGAGGTGCCAGGATCGATTTGAGGGAATCCCAGCTGGCCACTGCAGGCAGGGACAGTGACAGGCGTGGATAAAGCTGGAGCAGCAGCAAGAGGGAGGCAAATGGTTTTGCAGAAGGTTGGGGCAGAGTGGGAGCCACCTGTACCCCGCAGCCCACCCCGCCCTCAGGGCCCCAGGCCCCCTTCCTCCAACTTCTGCCGGCCCTGGGGGCTGGGAGTCAGGCTGTCTGGGGTCGGGGTCTCCTGAGCAGGTCCCCAGGAGCCACCACCTCCAGGGTCTACAGTCTCCAGGCGCAAGGCAGGCAGCAAGCCTAGGCTTTGAGGCACAGATGGTGGGAAGGCCCAGGGGTCAGGCAGCCGAGAGGGCCCCTCCTCACTACTGCCCTGGCTGCCTCCATCATTGCCCCTGTTGGGGGCCACACAGGGCAGGTGACGGCTCTGGGGTGAGGGGCTCCGGCTGGTGCCCCGTCGTTCACGGGAAGAGGGTCTTAAGGCCAGACCAGGGAAGCGGGCCAAGCCTGGGCTGCGACTGCGGTGCCTCTTGGACTTGCCAGGACTGGGGCTTCGGGACTTGGGTGCGAGCAGCTCCAGGGTGCTGTCATCTTCATCCTCCGAGCTGGTGCCTGAGCTGTCTGTGCTGCTGGCCAGCTCCGAGGTAGGCAGAGAGATCTGGACAGGAAGGCAGGTCACTGGGGTGCTCCAACCCCCAATAGGCCCCTGAGGCCTCCTAAAACCACTCCAAAACTCCTCCTTGACTGACCCAGGGAGGTCGGGCTACTCATAGGAGGCCACAGAGCAGAATGTAGAGGCTGCGGCATTTGAACAGGATCTTTGGCACCCCTGACCCTGCATCTGGTCTACTCACCTGGAAGGGCTCCGTGACTCCAATGAGGATGCTGTGGGTGTGGCTGTAATAGCCCAGGATGAAGTCTCCGTGGCCCTTGGGCAAGGACTCCTCACTGAATGTCACCTGGGGGGCCCAGGGTATAAGCCCAGGCTGGGGTCAGGGACAGCCACAGAACCCCCCAAAGCCAGTGGGGACTTCCTCCCCTTCCCGCTTCCCTTGAATACCTGGTAGACGTTCCTGTCCACATCCTCATGTTTGGCCCAGACGTAAGCCACGTAGTCCTTGCAGTGGCGGAAACCCACCTGGGGTGAGAGGAATCGTGGCCCTCACCCCTCTGGCCCGACCCCAGCAGCCTCCCTGTGGGGCATCAAACTGGAGAAGCCACGATCCCACCTGGGTACCCAGTTGCTCCTCCAGGTCCTTCCTTCCCCAAGTCACTGACCTCCCCGCCCTTCTCACCCGGTACAAGCCGATCCAGTCCCAGGAGCTACGGGCGAACACGGTTTCCATGCGGTACCTCACCACAGCCTGCTCTGGCCTCACCCACTCGTCTGCCACCTCCAGCCGCACCAGCGGTGTGTCGTCCCTGAAGGCAAACTGCCCAGGGGCAGGAGGCAACATCAACAGAGACCATCCAAGATGCCAAGCACCCTTGGGGCCGAGTCAGCAAAAAGGGGCTGAGATAAGGGCCTTTGAAGGTACTATAGAGACAGGGAAACTGAGGCAGAACAGGTCTAGGACAAATGTCAGGCTTCCTGCCTCCTAACCCAGGGCTCTTGGGGCTCGTCACCTCTTTCAGGACTGAATGAGAATACAGCTTTGACGTTAGGAGACCATGGGTTTGGCCCTGGCTCTGTCAATGACAGGCTGCGTGACCCTTGGTGAGATTTAGTTTTGTTGGTTTTTTTAAAGATTTTATGTATTTATTTTCAGAGAGAGAGTGAAAGGGAGGGAGAAAGAGAGGGAGTGAAACATCAGTGTGTGGTTGCCTCTCACATGGCCCTCACTGGAGACCTGGCCCGCAACCCAGGCATGTGCCCCGACTGGGAATTGAACCAGCAACCCTTTGTTTCGCAGGCTGGCACTCAAGCCACTGAGCTATACCAGCCAAGGCCCTTGGTGAGTTTTTAACCTCTTCAAATGCCAGATCTTTTGTCTGTAAACTTGGATGATCTTACTTAACTCTTTTTTAAAATTTATTTTTAGAGAGGGAGGAAGGGAAGGAGAAAGAGGGAGAGAAACATCAGTGTGTGAGAGATACATCGGTCGGTTGCCTCTCGCATGCCCTCAGCTGGGGATCGGGCCCAGAGCCCAGATACGTGTCCTGACTGGGAATCAAACCAGTGACCTTTTAGTTCGTAGACCACTGCTCAATCCACTGAGCCACACCAGTCAGGGCTGATCTTATTTAACTCTTTGGGCCGTTCAGCAGATTCAGTGAGATACTGCTTGCAAAGCATCCCATAAACCTCCCAGTACACAGTAGGTATGCAATTACTGATTTGCCTTTATGCTAATAAGGGAGACATGATGTACTGAATACTCTGGGGCAAGCTGAATACCCCCGAGTGGTCGAGAAGAGCCCTGAGTAAAAGCCTGGAGACCTCAATTCATTTCTAGCCTCTGCTACTAACTTGCTCTGTGACCTCAGCTAAGCCCTCGGCCAATCCGAGACTCAGCTTCCCCGTCTGTATAAAGAGGCAGCTATGATCTTGTCATCAGTCCATAAAGACAATTGATAACCATGAGTACCCTCCTCCCAGGGTCACCCACAGGGGTGGGGTTGCTGGGGGACAGGTGGCTTGGGACTGGCTCCACCTCTGTCCCTCAGAGGACTCAGGTGCTGCCAGCCTGAGGTTTTTGTCTGGTCCCTATTTATCTGGTGTCAGGTTTCCCTCCCTCAGCTTCTGAACCAAATTGCTCCAGAAAAAAAAAAATCCAGCACATCCTCTCACGGAGTCCAGGTTCCTACTAGCCAGTCTAGCCAGGGTGGGCAATTTGAAATGCCCTCCAGGGCCTGCAGGGTCAAAACTCCCACTAACCCCTATTTGGATCCTGTGGCTTTGAGTAAGAGACTTAAGTTTTCTGAGCCTCAGTTTTCCTCACCAGTAAACCTGGGAGGAGGATTCGGACAGCTCAGAGCCTGCTGAGGCATTCAAACGGAGGACACATGTAAAGCGCCCCACGCAAGGCCTCCACTGTAGTAGGTGCGCAACAGGTGATGTTTTACAAGGGGCAGAGTCCCGGACGAGGAGGGAGGGTCAGGGAACAGCACCCAAAAGGAGTGGTTCTCAAGGTGAGGGTTAAACCTTACACCCAAGCATTTTACCAAAGGTCACAGGAGGCCGGGCATAGGCATATTTCCTTTCCCAAGTGACTAAGTCACCAAGGAATACTTTCTCTGGCCTGCTGCGCTCCCTCTTATCAGATCAAGGGAATCAGAGAGCCAAGCGTTGGGTTTCAGGGCTGGAGAGATGGAATCTCCCCTGCTCTGCCACTGCGCCTGCCCGTGTAGGACTTGGGGCACCTGCCTACCCAACGAGGGGCCTCAGATAAACAGACAGTTGGACTGGGTAGTCTCTCAGGTCCAGTTCTGACATCCTTGCGTTTCCCCTTCTTTATGTTGGCCACTAGGGACCTCAATCCTAAAACCAATGCTAAGTAACTATTTAGAGTTTAGTTTTGTATTTCTTGTATCTCTACTCCTTCCCATCACTACCTTGTTCTTATAGTGACTGGCGTACGGTAAGATGGTAAATAAGTCATAAATGAATATGAATGAATGCTGCATGTGGCCTGAGTAAACCTTTTTTTCCCCTGGTCTTATGACATATGTGAATTTTAACATAAGTTGGCCTCAGCCTTTCTTGGAAGAAGGGAGTTAGAGATAAGTAGAAAAGGCATGCGCTCTGGAGTCAGGTTAGCCTGGGTTCAATTCCTAACTTTTCCCTTTACCGGCTGTGTGGCCCTGGGCAAGCGATGCTGGGTCTCTGAGCCTCAGTTTCCTCACCTGAAAATGGCAATCATAACCCACTCCCACTCTGCTGTGATGGATGGGTACTGCTAAAGGCAGGTGAACGGGATGGGCTGCAGAACGCTGAGCTGGGCTTGGGGATGCCATGAGAAGAGGGTGAGGCCAGGACTCACGTGCAGGACAAACTGCGCAGCCACAGGCTTGTGGTCACTGACTGTGTATTCCATGTGGCTGCGGTAGCTGTGCTGGGTCACCTGGAGCCGGTAGCTCTCCTGTCCCGAGGGGCTGCGACCTCCACGCGGAGCCTTGACTTTCCACAGGATACGGTCTGTCCAGGCCGGCTTCCGCTTCTTCGCACTGTGTTGGGCAGGCATAGCCCGAGTTACAGGGGCAGCAGGTCAAGGCACGGCCCCCAGCCTTGCCTCCAGGCCCTCTTCCACGACTCATTTATCTAAAAGACCTCGGCCCACATCCCCACCTCATGGTAGTGCTGCGCTCACCTGGTGTCATATTTGTTAGTACCCACGTCAAACTTGAAGGTGGGTGCAAAGTTGAGGGGCCCCTCCTGGAAGCCCTTCAGGATGGGCCAGGTGTTCTTGGCCATGTTGAGCTGTGAGGGTCCAGAAAGGCAGAATTGGACAACAGCTTGGGCAGGGCAGGTGAGGGCGAGGACCAGAGCCTAGGGTACAGGTGTGTCTTGAGGTACACTCAGTGTGCTTGGGGTTTGGGGTGCAGCCCGGGGTTCCACACCTGGTCCTTCTCCCAGAGCTTGTGAAGCTGGTTGTTGTCAATGGCAAACTTGACGAAGTGAGGGTCGTAGCTCTCGATTCGGAAGTTGAGGTCCCCGAACCAGAACACGAGGCTGTGTGGGGTGGAGGTCAGTGGGGTCCTTGGAGTGGAAGAGCCCAAACCAGATTCTTCTCCACCCCCTTCCTACCCGACAACACCGAATGCCCCTAGTGATGGTGATGGCTGGGTGGCCACAGAGCCTCCAGCCCGCCAAGGAGGAGCAGGAGGGTGCAGATCTAGTGGAAAGTTACAGTTGGTTCAGAATCTCAGTTAAGGCCCTGCCCCTCAGCAAAGATCTCCCTGCAGGCTCTGCCTCCATCAAATTCACCCAGTGTCCCGGTTCCTAGTAGTTTGGGTGATGACCCACCTCCATAGGCCCCGCCTTTCCCCACAAGGCCCACCCAGATAGTATCAAGTTCCTTCTTGCAAGTTCGCAGACCCTCACCGCTGAGGCCCACCCCTCCTTCACTAGCCACGCCCAACCTCCATTTGGCTCCGCCCTGGCCCATACTCGTGATCCAGGATGCCTTGCGCCCCTGGACCCGGGAACTGCTGGAGGCTGAGGATGGTCTGGAAGTTGTCCTTGCGCTGCTCCGCCTTGTCCATGTGTGCTGGCAGGTGGCAGTTCAGGAAGCAGAGCATGTGTCCGAAGGTCGCCAGTCTCACACTCACTCCACCTTTGTTGCCCTTGAGCAGCAAGATTGGGCGGGTCTTGGCAGGGTCCAGGCAAGGAGGTGAGGTGCTGGGCGGGGCATACAGAGCGGCGAGGACTGCCAGGCCGTGGAGGTGGCTGGGAGAGGGGTGGGGTCTAGGGAAAGGCCCAGAGCACTGGGAACCGCCCCCCACTCCTTGCTCAGGAAGAGACAGAAAGGGGGCGGGGTCTAGAAAATAGAGTAAGGTGGTAGCCGGGGTTGGGGAGAGGCGGGCCTCAGAGTAAGGGGTGGAGCGCAGGGAGATCTGGCCAGTGCAGAGGATCTGGGGACTAATAAATACACGGGCCTCTTAGGACTGTGTCCGCTCCGAACACTCCTTTGCTTACCCAATAGCCACCCAGTCCAGTGCGCGTGCAATCGGTCTGCACGTCCCTCAGGAAGGGCAGGTGGTAGTACTTGGCGAACAAGAGCAGAATGACACCCTGCATCCTCACCGTACTCACCTGCGGTGGGAGGCGACTAGGCTCAGGTACTGGGCACAACCCCAGCTTCTCCGCCCTCGCCCTTTCCCGTCTTTAGAGTCTGCTCCTCCAGCCTCCCTTTTCACAGACCCGGCAGTAGAGGCCCAGCAGACCCCACAGTGAGTCAAGGCAGATGTAGAACCAGGAATCCAGGGGTCTCCGCCCATCCAGAGGGTGAGGGAGGTGTTACCAGCACGAAGTTGAAAGGCGCCAGTGCATCCATGAAAAGCTCGCTCCACTGATCCGTGAAGAGCGCGTCCTTGAGCCTCTTGTTGATCATTGAGTTCACTTCCTGCAACCTGGGGCGCGGGGTGAGGTGGCTGTCGGGCTGGGGGACTCCTTAGAAGCCCCTCCCATGGGCAAGGGTCTGGGAGGCAGGAGAGGCTGGGGAGAGGGCCCATGCCCCCCGGCCCCTCACCCTATGGCAATCATGTCTGCCTTGTCGCCGTCATCGCTGCCACTGCCCAGGTGGAGGAGGGATGTGACGTCGTCAGGGGGCATGGCAGTGCCCACATTCCACGTGACCACAGTGATCCTGGGGGTGCCAGTATAGGAGGGGTAACTGCAGGGCACCACTCCCTCATCCCTGATCTTCCCACAGGGCCCTTTCTGGGGAAATAAACTGAGGCGGGTATGGGTGCAAACCCTCAGAAGGACCACAGTGGGCCCAGTATCCCTCCTTCCAGACTCTCCCAGGGGAGGTCAATTGAGTTAGGGGTGGGCAAGTCCCTTAGGAGGGGATGCTGTCTTCCGAGGGTCCCAGAATGGGCCCAGCACCCCCAAGGACTCTTCCTCAGGGAGGTAAACTAGGGCAGACTAGGGCAAGCCACCCTGGAAGCATGGCTCGTCTCAGAGCTCAAGCCCCAACAATCGTTTCGGGGAGAGGGCTCCCTCACCAGAAGCCGGGGTCGCTCTTGCAGGTCGGCTGAGCTGACCACGAGGATGATGATGATGAAGTGGATGTAGATGGGGAGGTGGTGATTGGGACTGGAATTTCTTGGGGCTGAAGGCTGGGGCTCAGGTGCCCACCAGGCCTGACACCCTGGGTGCCAGGCCTGGGGAGGGCCGTTTCAGGGGCTGGGTGATCACAAGGGGAGCAGTTGGGGGAGTGGTTGGGGGATCGGTTAGGGGAGCGGCTGGGGGAGCGGCTGGGAGACCGGGGTGGCTTGGGTAGAGGTGGGGGCACGGTCTGGGCTGAGGGGACCCCTGGCCGGAAGGTAGGGGACAGAAGTCCTGGGGAGCCCTGGCCTGTATTCAAGGGCAGCGACTGGGGTGGCTGGGGCAGGACAGGATCCTCAGGGCTGCTGCGAGGGACCTCAGGCCTTGCTCTGAAGGAGGGAGAGGTCCGGGGGTCTGGGAGAGCTTGGATCAAAGATGGGGAGCCTGCAGGACTGGATGCCTGAGCCGGAGGCTGGAGATGCCCTTCAGAAGTGGGGAGAGGTCTAGGGGCTGGGACGTCCCTCTGTTTAGCTGGTGTCCGTCCTACAGAGGCCAGGGCTGGTGCCATGGATACTGGAGCCAGGGTCTGTTCCTGAGAGGGCGATAGAATCGGACTGGGCACTGGGAAAGAGTTGGAGGGGGGCTGTGGGCGCTGCTCCTCAGATGCCAGGGCCAGGCTTAGGCCTGAAGTGGCCAGTGCTGGCTTGGGTCCCACGGAGACAGCTGGTACCTGCTTCTGATCTCTAGACACTGAAGCCAGCCTGGGCCCCAGAGCAGCTGGAGGCAGCCTGGGTGCAGCTGAGGTGGACATCACCAGCTGCCCCAGGGATGCTGGAGCCAGGACCGAGCCCGAAGTTGCTGGAGGAGGCGTCACCCCAGCAGGGGCGCACATCAACTGGCCCACAGATGTTGAAGCCAGGCTGGAGCTGAGGCGGGCAGGAGCTGTTTTCTGCCCTCCAGGGGTAGACAGTGGAGCCAGGAGGGGTCGAGGAGATGACAAAGCCAGTCTTGGCCCCTCTGAGGAAAGTGGCCCAACAGCATGTGGCCCCATAGGTGCCAGAGCCAGCCTTGGTTCCAAGGGTACTGGGGCTGCATTCTCCTTGGCTGGGAGCTGAAAACTTGAGTCCACCTTGTAGAGGATAAGTTAAAGACACAGGGTAACCCTAACCAGTGGCTTAGGCCCCGACTTCCATATAGACCCCAGAAGATTCCATATACCTAAAAAAAAAGGTACATCTTTCCAAGGAAGTTCTTCCTGATTTCTTACCTCAATCCATCCTGCTGCCAATTAGCTTCTCTTTGGGGGCAAACAGGACACAGAACCTTACCTGCTATCTCAAGTCTGACACCTCTTTCAGAGAAGAGGAAACTAAGACCCCCGACTCAAAGGAGGTAGAGTGTGAGTCTGAACCTTCCTGGCTGGCACCCACTCCCTGGCCCCTCTGGAGTGTTGGGTGGCTGGAGACAGCCTTCCTGGACAAACTCCCTGCCCCGTCCCATGTCAAGGGCTACTGACTTGACACCCCGGATCTGCTGACTCTACACTCAAGGTCCAGCATGTTCAGTACGGCTTCCTTCTCCCCAGTCCTCAGGAACCCTCAGGTTCTCCCCATCAAACATTTCTAACCTTGGTCAGAGCCCTCTCTGTCTGCTTCACCCATTCCCAGAGCTCCACACAGGAGCAAGAGCCTGGGTCTGAGAATGGCCACACCAGCCCCAAGCCCAGATCTGTGTACCCTTAGGCAAGCACCTCTCTGCCCAGGGTCTACGTTTTCCTGTCTGTAAAACAGAGGGACCTGGTGAAGGGTCCCTGGCCACACCTGGTTCCTGGGAAACCTCAGTCTCATATTTCCTGCATTTCTGAGCCCAACATGTGCTAGGGTTCCATTTAAGCCCCGCGGAACAGTCCGTCTTCACCAAGTGGCCCCATAGGTAGGGCGCGTCCCTCGGAGCGAGTCCAGGATTCTGTTGATTATGGCATCACCCCTCTCTGCGTGCAGGTTGTACCCTCCTACCCTCTTCACCCTTTCCCCCACCTGTGAGGACAGGTAAGCAGGTAGCCTCCTTTTGTCCAGCAGGTGGAGTAGGGGCCACCCTGCCCAATAGGGACCTCCTTCTCCTTACCGATCTGTCTCCAGAAGACAGGATAATGTCCTTTGCCAGGGAGGGCAGAAGATTTGCACTTGCCCTGGGATGGCCCCATCCCTGTCTCCAGAGATGCAGTCTGTCTGCAACCCGTGCCTTTCTCGGTTCAGAGAACCTGGAACTCTACTTCCACCGCCATCCCCAAACTCACCTCTTCATGGATGCATTTTCAGCATCCTCCTTGGCTCCAGGTATCCCACTAGGCACCCCCACCACCCCCACCAACCACCACACCGCCTCCAGCACTAACAACTTAGACATCCCAGATGTCACAGTTCTAGTCTTTGGGGACAAGCCTCCTCATTTTGCATTGTCTCAGAGAGGACAAGCAACTTGCCCAAGGTCACACAGCAAAACTGGAGCATAGCTGGGTCACTTAACACTTAGTCCAGTGTTCTCCTGCAGGATCCTGGGGGTAGCTAACTCCATTTCTCTCTGGGTGTCCCATCACTGCCCCCTCAGGCCTCAAGGTGCCCTGTTCACCCATCCCTGCTCAGTGGACAGAGGAGAGTGCCAGTCCCTCAGCCAGGGTCACCAGGGTGCCTGCAATGTGTGTGTGTGTGTGTGGGGGGTGTGGGACTAAGGATCAGGAATGGGGAGGCTAGGTTTTAGGGGTCTTACCTTGGAGGGTGCTCCAGTTTGGAAAACCCCATGGGGCATGGGCAGGGGGCCCAGGCCAGCCAGGGTCCCTGGCCTCCTGCTGCCACTGCTGCCGTGGCCCTCCATGTCTGCAGCCCCTGGCAGCCGGGGCTCCCTCAGGCTCTAGCTCCAGCTCCTCCGCTCCCGGGGACCAGTGATGTCATCAGCCGTTTCAACCTGCTGAGAATTTAAAGGCACAGGCATCTACTTCCCAACCTAGAGGTGGCCAGGGCAAGGTGGCCTGACTGCTGAAGCTGGCACGGTCACGAAAGTGTGGGGAAGTGTGCCCAGTGGCTTGGCCGGAGTTCCACCTGGCTGTGTGCAGTAAGCTCTGTCTGTGCCCCTCTGCTACCCCACCAGTAGGCCTGCTTGGCCCTTGCTGAAGGGAGGGGCACTGACACACCTGAGGGAAAAGCTGAAACAAGTAGCTCAGAGGTCAGCACCCTCTTCAGGGCCTCCGGGACACCTGAGTCCCCACCCTGATCCCGTTACCTTCCTGGTGCCCTGCCATCTCAGGACTTGCCTTGGCCCCCTCCCTTGCCCCATTTCCAGGCCTCGGTGCCTGCCGCCTGCCTGGCTCTATTCTTCCCATCCCAGAGCCAGACACTCAGGCTCCAGCTACTGGAGCCCTTTCCCATCTCAGCCTCAGCACTGCCCCTTCTCCTCTGCAGACTCCTCGCTGCCTGCCCTGGGACTCCCACAGCTAGGCCCAGCGCAGCCCAGTTCTTCTCAGCTTTCCTCAGTCCCATACTCAGTGGGTGTGGTTTTGGAGAGGCTACATGGTCAAGGTCACCTACTAAGCTGGGGAGGTCTCCTGCATTTCAATGAGGAAAGGGAGTGTCCTCAGTGACCCAAGACAAGAATGAGCCAACTAAGGGTATCTGGAGGAAGGAAACTAGGGTGGAAAAGGACCAACAGAGGGAGAATGAACTGGCAGGAGGTCCTGGGAGTCCCTTTGGCCAGGACCTAGCACAGACCTTGATCTCCAACAGGCCCAGGGAGATGATTGTTGAATGAATAAACAAATGAATGAATGGGTGAACGAGTAACAAGACTCAGGGATGGCTGTGAGCCCTCTGCTTCTTCCTCTTCCCTATTATCATTCTTATCTGCTAAGCAGTCCCTGAAATCCGAATTCCCCCGGAACTGCTGGATTGCTTAGAGTGATCCTGCTCAATTTAGGCAGATAACGTTCAGTTTTTTAACCAGAGCTGCCTGTTAGGCAACGGCGCCTCTGCATCCTCATAGGCCTGTGTGGTTCCCTACATGGAAGCCATGTGGACATAGGACTTTCTGTCCCTGGATGGGCTTCTCACCTGTCTCTGGGTCTAGTCTGTGTTTCTGGGCCAGCAACTCTGTGAGGCTGGAATTGTGGGGATAGAGACACAGATCATAACATCAGGGCCCTGGTGTAGAAAGGTATTTGGATGGTGACGGTGGAGGTGATGACAGTGGTGATGGGGGAGGTGATGACGTATGTCGTTATGATGATGGACGTGCAGGGCTGACAGTGATGGAGGAGGTGGTGGTGTTGATGATGATGGTGACGGAAGAGGGGATAACAGGCGCGGACGCTGGCAGTGGTGGAGGTAGAAGAATGAAGGGGTGGTAGTAATGGCGAGAAGGGAGATAGTAAAAGTGGAGGAGAGATGGCGGCAGAAGAGGGTTTTATGTTGATGGAAGAGGAAGTGGTTGTGGAGCTGGAGGTGAAGGTGGGGTGGTGGCGAGGGAAGCAGTGAGCGTAGACGTGGCAGAGGTCTGCAGGCCACTACAGAGAGAAGGAAAAGCGTGAATGCACCCTGTCCAGCCCTCTGACTCCTGTTTTACAGGTAAGATAATGGAGATATCCCCTAATAGTACTGAGCTTCTGATGCAATCTGGGTCCCCTGGGATGAGGCCTTAGGCTCAGCCATGGGGGCTGGGAGAAGGGCGTCAAAGTCCTCTGGGAGCCAGGCAAATGCCATGCAAATGAGTGTGCAGAGGGCTACCTGGCCCTCGCTGGGCAGCCCAGGATTTTCTATCCTCTCCTCTCCCTGAGCTCAGACCCTGCAGGAAGCTTTGTTTCTGGCCCTACTACTGACTTACTTGGGCAGTTCACTCAGATTCCCGATTTGTGTAAGGGAGATAAAAACAGCTGATACCTCCTTAGGTTGCTGTGAAGGTTCAGCAAGATAGTACCTATGGAGTGTTGAGCACAGAGCCCGGCACAAGTAAGTTCTCGGTCAGGGCAGCTGCTCTGGAGTTCTCATCATCAACATCATCACCGTTATCATCTCCAACATGCCCATTTGGTGGATGCTGAAACTGAGGCCCAAGGCAGTTGTATCCCTGGGGGGAAGGGGAAGGGACTCTGAGACCCAGACGTGGCCTAACCAGGAGAAGAAGGTGGGGGGTGGACCCCAGCTGAGAAGGGAGCCAGGGGAGATCTATATTTGAGCTCCTGGTGTGATGACTAAGGAGGTTGATAACAGGCTCTGGGGCTCAGGGCGGCAGGCCGGGGGCAGCTGCCAGGGAGAACCGCCCCCCTGCTACAGATAGCTGGCTTCCTCCCTTCCCTCACTGGAGGGGGTGGTGTGTGTACTAAGACACAGGGTACAGCTTGTCCAGCCCCCTTTTGGAAACTCTTAGTGCTAACCTTCAGGCTGTTTGGGTTGGGAATGAGAAAGGACAGAGTTGGTGGTTGGTTACTCTCCATAGTAACCCTGAAAGGTTGGTAATAAGATCCCTGTTTGATAGAGGAAGAAACCGAGGCCAGGAGGGGACAGAGAATGGGGTTCCCGGTGCATAGTGGATAATTCCTTTCCATGGAGGTGACCATTGAATCCCTTCTTCGAAGGTGAGTCCACGTTGCCAAATTGAAAAGAGGAGCAATGTCCTGGGAAGCAGAGAAAGAGCAGGTGCAAAGGTATGGAATGTGGCAAGTTCTGTCTGCGAAAGGATGCAAAATTTGGACATACGTCTTCATGGCCCTTTGGCTCAGTAAATACACCATGAGCAGGTGTATACACCTTCCTCTGTCTTCCTCCTCTTCCTCTATCCACCTTCCAGGTGCTTCTGTAAGTGATAATGGTACAGAAGGGTCTGTCCTCCCTTCAACCCCTGGTCACCCTGACCCAGGCCTACTGTAAGGGAGGTCACACTGTGGCCACTGAGAAGTGGCTGGAGATGCAGAGGGCCCCACATACGAGTGTACTGGAGAAGGTGGAAAAAGTGAGTGCTAGGAAGAGCTTCCTGGAGGAGAGAAACGTAGAGGGTATGGAGGAGAATTTCTCCTCCCAAGACTTCACTGCGGGGTTCTTGTTAGTACCAAATGCCACATGTCATGTCACTGTCCCCTTGTTCTCATCCTCTGGGGTGGGTGTCATCTTTACAACCCACTTGCCCCTCAGGAAATGGGCTCAAGGAGGAGGACTGACTTTCCCAAGGTCACACAGCTGGGGCTGAGGCTCAGGCATCCGCCCTCCCTCTCCACCGCTCCCCCTCCTCCTAGGCAGCCTGGCACCCGCTGTCAGCTGCTCTGAAGTGAGTGGCTATTTTTATTCTGGTGCGAGGGGATCTCGGGCAGCAGAGCCATGTAGGTTAGAAGGCTCTAGGACACCCGGCTTTAGCACGCAAGGAGAGCCTTGTTGCAGGGACATAAGCTTGCTTGGGCGCTCATGCTGGCTGACCTGCCCTGGGCTCCCATGTCTTCAGGGACTTTTTTTATTAGACCTCAGAACAGAGCACAGAGCCAGATTCAACCCTGACTCTGATTCCAGATCCACCTTGAGCCCTAGCCTTGGTGTTCACTGAGCCCTGATCCAGTGCCAAGACTGAGCTGCTACCTCAGCTCTAGACTGAGCTCTGACCGTGGCCTTAGATTAAACCCTGACACTGGTCACATATGGAGCCTGAGCCAAGCCTGACTAAGGCTGATCCCAACTTGAGACCTCGATTCTGGACCCAGATTGAGCCCTGGTCCTAGCCTAAGACTGAGTCATAATCAAAGACTGAACTCCAACCCTCGTCTAGATGAACCTTTGACTTTACACTGAGCCTTAACCCCAAGTTTAGACTGAGCTTCAAGTCTCATCATTAACTAAACCCTGAACCTAGCAGAAGACCAAGTCCTGATTTTGTTTACAGACTGAGTCCTGAGCCTAATCAATGGACTGAATCCTGACCTCAAACCGAGCTCTGACTCTGGGTCACACAACTCTGGTCACACACTGATCCACAACCTCAGACTGTCATTGAACCTGGTCACAGACTGAGCCTTGATCCTGGTCGCAGAGTGAGGCCCACAACTAATCCTTGAGCACCGACCGACTCCAGCGCCAGACTCAGTTCCAACCCTGGGCTTAGGCTAAGGGCTGACCCTGATCCTGCCTGAGCCTGACCCCATCGCAGACTAAACCCCAAACCCAGCTCCACCTGAGGAAGGCTGCTGGCCTAGATTACATACTGCCACATAAGGGAATTGATTACGATCAGAGATCGTTCTGGGAGATTCTGGGCCTCCCACGGCTGCTGATGCAGAATGTTCCCGGTACTGTTGTGGCCAGTGTCTCTACTACTGGTTCCACTGGCTGGACAGTCAACCCTCAGCAGCCCAGGTTGTGGGCCCTCCAGGCCGCAGTGTTCGGATTAATGCAATGAGAGTAGTTTGGTGGCATCTATCCAGTGAACAACATGGGCCCACAGGGCATTGAGGCTTGGGTCTGTCTGCAGAAAAACCACAGGCTCTATCTCCACGGGGCTTCAGGCTTTAGCCGCTTGGAGGCCCTTGCTGGGTATGGGGTCAGGCAGAGGGAGCCCATGACATGTGTCCCCCTTTTATTTAAATTCTCACCGAAGGATAGTTTTTAAATTGATTTTAGAGAGAGGGGAAGAGAGAGAGAAACATCTGTTGGCTATCTTACGTACGTGCCGCAAAGGGGGATCAAACCCGAAACCTAGGTGTGTGCCCTGACTGGGAATCCAACCAGCAACCTTTCGGTGTACAGGACAATGCTCCAACCGACTGAGCAACTGGGCCAGGGCCACTGCTTTTTTTTCAAAAACAAAGTTTACTCTTTGTGTTTAGGTAATAGATATTTATTACAGCAAATACAGGAAAAGTGTAAAGAAGAAAACTCTCACCTGTAATTTCATCTACCAAGAAATGACCATTTTGATTTCTTGGGTTGTTTCCTTCTAGAGTTGGATTTTGGTCCAGGCGTATATAGGGTGAGGCAAAAGTAGGTTTACAGTTGTGAGTCCATGAAACAATTTATTCTTGTATTATTTATTAATTACTGGATTATTTTGCATATAGACAACTGTAAACTTCTTTTGCCACACCCTGTATATTTGCTTATACATATTTTATAAAATTGGTTGATTACTCTGTTGCCGTCACAATGTCCATTGCAGCCCATATCCTTGACAGGCTTCAGGAATGGGACCCAGTTGGTTCAGCCAGTGACTAATTTCCATTTTTCCAGCCACATGACTGGATCATGAATGGACTAGTGAGCTATAAGGAGGGTTTGGGGGAAAGAAAGTTCATTTACTTCCTGAGGAGACTGCCAAAAGAAAAACAAAATGACCCCTTGACTAGATGTGAATGAAGAAGTCTGCAGTCCCGGGTAGCCATCCTGGCAGCCATCTTGACACCATGCAGGCACTGGTCTAATGATCAGCTGAAACTGTGGGGAGAAGAATGGAGAGAGATCAAATTTGGATGACTCATCAAGTGGATTACACCTTGCCTAAAGCCTCCCATGCCATGCAACTATTTTGTTATTTGAGCCAAAAGATGCCCTTTATTTAGTCAGTTGAAGCCCAGAGCAGCACAACTTCCAACTGCTATTGCTGTTTGGTGGTGAGATTTTTTTTTTAACAATTGACAACATTTTTCATGTCAATCAGTACTATGCTACACCATTTGAAATAATTACATGGTTTTCAATCCTATGGAGGTGCCATCATTTATTTAATTCACTCCCTGCAGTGACACACTTAGGTTGTATCTCCAGTTTTTCACCATGATAAACTGTTGTCTTTTTAAAGATTTTATTTTTAGAGAGAGGGAAGGGAGGGAGAAAGAGAGGAAGAGAAATATCAGTGTGTGAGAGAAACATCAACTGGTTACCTCTCATATGCCCCCAACCTGGGACCCAGGTCACAACCCAGGCATGTGCCCTAACTGGGAATCAAACCTACAACCTTTTGGTTTACAGGACTACACTCCACCCACTGAACCATACCAGTCAGGGCTGAACTACGTTTTGATAAACAAGCTTGACCTAACCATTGGCTCTCTCTCTCTGATGATTACTTTGGAATGAAGAAATGACTAGGTCAAAGAAATTTTACATATATAAATATAAATGCCTCTTAATTTATTTATTTAAAAATCTCCTAATCCGAGGACAGGCTTATTGATTTTAGAGAGAGGGCAAGAGAGGGAGAGAAGGAGAGAAACATCAATGGTGAGAGAGAGACATCAATCAGTTGCCTCTCACATGTGCTTCAACCTGGACCGAACCTGCAACCTAGGGATGTGCCTTCACCAGGGAGAAAACCTTTTGGTTTACAGGATAATGTGCCAACCAACTCAACCACACCAGCCAGGGCCGAATATTTGTAGAGTTTTGATTATGGAGTCAAATTGCCCTTCAGGAGCTTGCATTAATTCACACTTACACAGCACTCGGTGGAATGTTAGACTTAATCTATTATGTTAAAAGTCTGGACAGAACCAATTATGTTTATAGTTTCTTCACCCATTTATAAAGTTTCATGTATCCATTTATAAAGAATGGGTATTAAATAATAGGTCTAGGCCTGTCATTGTTAAACCTTTATAATCAAGTCAGTGAATGTGAGGTAGCAGGGTGAGCAAAGAGCTTAGTGCAGACCTGACATTGACTGAGGCTCAATGTCTAGGGTCTGTGATACTTCTAGGGGTCCAGGAAAATGTTTTAGTTTTAATTTCTTTAAAATCAGAAGAAAAAAGGAATATATAATAATGAATGCAGCCTGGATTATATTCCTTTTTATCAAAGCAGTTGTAAAATCCAATTTTTAATATATTTTCTTAATGGAGAAAGGGGTTCAGAAAGGCAAAAATGCCTAGGGTCCATGAAAATCATAATGTTGCCTTGGTACGATGATGATAATTTTGAGTCCCAGTCTAGGTTCAGTGGAAAGAGCACCGTGCTCCATTTGCTGAGTCTGCCGTAGGCTTGAAGAGGAGAGATGGCATTCTGATCCAGTTGTCTTTATTTTGGCGAGAAGAGCCCAGGGGTATTTCGGGGTTCAAATCCCAGATCCATAGCTTAATCACTTCTTATCTTTTTTTTGCCTGTTTCCTAACCTGAAAAACGGGTTCATGGGGCTTTTATGAGGTAAGGAATGAAATAATGAAAACTAACATCGTAGCAGGTACTGTTGTAAAACGCTTTATGGGTATTAACCTTTTTATCCTCCCAGCTTCTATAGAGTACGTAATGTACCTATCGCCACAATATGTGCCCCAGGGAACTGAATCCTTAGTCAAAATTTTGTCCAGAAAGATAAAAAACATAAACAAGAATTCCGCAGGCCTCAATTTCCCCATCTGGAAATCTGGTCTATGGCTTAGAAACCCGTGTCCGACCGCATCCCGCCCGCGTCCCCTACAGGCAGGAGGTGGCGCTGTCCGGATGCATCCTGCGGAGCGTCCACTCCCTCTATCGGCAGAGGGAGCACAGACACCCTTGCGACTGAGAAAGCAAAGGCCTGAGGATCGGAGAGGAGCTAGAACCCCACTAGGAGCAAGCTGGGGGACGCCCCGCGGACTCGCGGGCGAACACCCGGAGCTGGGGGCGTGATCTCTGGTTGGGCAGGGCGGGGCTTCGAGCGCGGGTGGGGCCAGACCGCAGGCCCAGACGTGGCTCAGCGGCCCGGCATTTCATCCCCGTTTTGCTGATTTTCTTCGGGTTCCGATGCGACTCCCGCTGCCTCCGCCGCCTCTGCTGCTGCTTCTCGCGGCACTCGCTTCCGCCGCCACAACCTTCCGGCCCGACTGGAACCGTCTGCACCGTCTTGCCCGAGCCCGGGTAGAGGTGAGTATGTCGGCGTCCAACCCAAAGACCACCGCTCTCGTGCCCTGCGGCCCCTTAGCCTGGGCATCACCGCTCGCTTTGGCCCCGAGACCCTCCCGACTCCCAAGTCCCCATTGGCTCTGGGACCACCCCTCCTACTTCCCAGCCTCTGGACAGACGCCCCAGCATCCACCGTGGAAGGCCGAGACACTCGATCTTGCGGCCTGGAAATCCGAACTCCTCCCCAGCTCCCCATCAGATCAGACAGCAGGCCCCCAGACACACTGACGCTGTCCCTTAACTCTTCTCCTGGCCTATGACTCTTACAAGCCTACCCTCTGGAGCCCAACTTCTCATCCTTTCCCCCTACCCCGCATCACTTCACTTTTCCCTGGAATTCCTCCCGCACCCCAGTTCCATATGATCTCTCTTCCTTTGCCTGGGGGAGGGAAGATTTCTGGGTGCCTTCCCCCACCGTTGAGGAGCCAGAGAAGGGGGCTAGGAACTGCATTACCAATACTTTGCAGCAGCCCCTCTACCCCGACACCCTTCTACAGGGAACTTCTCCACCAGTGTCCCTGTCTTGCTGTGTGACTTGGATTATAGCAGCCCCTTTCTGGGCCTCAGTTGTCTGTCTGAACAAAGAGGCTAGAAGAGGCTCTGACCACTGTGGCTCAGTGGGTTGGGCGTAGTCCTGCAAACCAAAAAGTCCTCAGTTCAATTACTGGTTGTCAGGGCGCATGCCTGGGTTGCAGGCTAGGTCCCCTGTTAGGGTCATGCAAGAGGCAACCAACTGGTGGATGTTTCTCTCACACATCAGTGTTTCTCTGCTTTCTTTTCTCCTTCCCTTTCTCTCTCTCTAAAAATAAATAAATAGGGTCTTTAAAAAGTCAGGGGCAGGACGAGGGAAGACTAGAATGGGTGGTCCTGGAGCCTGGAATCTTACTGGGAGGTGCCTCTCTTTCCTCAGGAAGTGCAGGGACTCTCCCATCTTCCCATGTTGGGAAAGCAACCACATGGTCTGTGAGGCTGCCCCTCAGGTGGCAGGGAGGGCCTGCTCTGCTTGGGGCGGGGTAGGGACCAGATGGCAGATGTCTCTAATGGGGGTGCCCAGGGCAGTTCTGAGCTGTTTCCTTCTGGGGTGCTCCACCCTGAGGCTCTAGGGGCCAAAGGTGAGGCCCAGGTCTCTACTCCCTGAGAGGAGTAGGGTGACTGTTTCTCTTGGGCTCAGCCAACAGTCAGCAACATGTGCAGGCAAGAGTCCCGAGGCCTGTGAGTGCCCTAGTGTCTCTGGCCTTGCCCTCTTTGCCCTTGGTATTCCCAGGTCTCTCTCAGTTTCCCTGTCTGTACAGAGTCCCCCTTTCTGTCTACAAGAGGCCCCCATCTCTACACCTTGGGAACTGCTGGAGTAATCCACAGCCTGACCCGAGTGGGAGACAACAGGGAAATGGCTTTGAGGGTGTGGCTGGGGAAGGCGTGAGGTTTTCTTGACCTATGCCATCTTGTTCCCCTCCAGACCTGTGGAGGATGACAGCTGAATCGCCTGAAGGAGGTGAGTTTGAAGGAAGAGGTCCCAGCTCTGCCTTCCCTGAGCCTCTTGGGGGTGGGTGGGGTGGCGGGCAACCTGTTCCCAATGATTGGGTAGGGGAGGACCTCTGGGCTGGTGTCAGGAGCTTGCTCCTGACTGGCTGCACCTGGCTGGGCTTCAGTTTCCCTTCGGTACCTTGAGGGGGTTGGGGTCTGATGCTTTGGTTTCTCCCCAGGTGAAGGCCTTCGTCACCCAGGACATCCCACTGTAGTATCCTTCAGTTCTGGGGGAGGCAGAGTGGGGAGGAAGTCTGGGAGAATCTTCTACTTAATTTCACTGATAGGATGACAAATGGTTTTCATCTGACAAATAGAATTGATCGGTAGTGTCTGCACAGAGAATTCCAAGGTGGTCTCCAAGTTGGGTGGGCAAACGGAATTGACTGGGGACTGCCACTGACACGGGAATGGGGAGGAGGGCCCCTTGCTTCTTTGGACCCTCATTTCCTCACGTGTAAATGGGGATCCCTGCGCTACCTCGGCAAACAAGGCTGTGCTGTTCACATCAGCAAGGCCGTGGGAACCCCTGCCTGGCCCATCACTACCCACCTTAACTCTCCAGTCACAACCTAGTAATGAAACACCTCCCGGGGGCCGACCCAGAGCTGGTGCTGCTGGGCCACCGCTCCGAGGAGCTAGAGGTGAGGCCTGGGAAGGCGAAGGGGGTGGGGAGAGAGCAGGGGGCGGGGCAAAAAGCCGCCGGTGAGCTGACCCAGTCCTTCCACTTCAGCGAATCCCGCTCAGCGAAATGACCCGCGAGGAGATCAATGCTCTGGTGCAGGAGCTTGGCTTCTACCGCAAGGCAGCGCCCGACGACCCTGTGCCCCCCGAGTACCTGCAGGCACCTGCTAGGCCCGCTGAAGGCTCTCCGGACCGCGCCGACCTGTAGGTCCGGGAGTGCGGGATCCCCCTGACTGAGCCCCTCGGACAGAATGAAGCGCTCAGTGTCATAGGAGCAACTCCCTCGCTGAGAGCAGAAGCCTCGTCCTGAAGGGAGCCGGCAGGGATGGAGTTGGGGGTTCCTCTCCATTCCCCTTTATATTCTCTCCCACTCACCTCCCTTTAGCTCCACTAAATCTCCTTCCATCTTTCAGAGATTCGACTCCTTTTTTGCTGCGGGCCCGTGGGGAGTAGGAGTCCCCCTTCCCTCCATTCAACCCTCCAAAGAGAGACAGAGACGAGTCACGGTCCTTGAAAACCAATAATTTATCAAAACGCTGCTTGTGTATGCGAGGGAAGGTGTCGCGACAGACAGGGCAGCTGTGGGCTGGCTCACAGGGAGGGGAGGGTGCCGGGATGGTGGGGGCAGCTTGCCGCGGGCAGGCCATGCGGGCTGGGAGGCTAGACATTCTTGCCACGCAGGCGCAGCTCGTGGCGCCGCAGGTGATTGTAGAGCGACTGCACATAGGTGAAGACGCACTTGGGGTCGGGCTTCTTGCCCATGATCATCATGTCCTCCACATCCACCAGGGGGACGCAGTCCACCAGCATCCTGCGAGGAGGGGGGCACAGGGGTGGTTGTCAGCGCGGGTCCCAACTCCTGCAGCGGCCCTCTATTTGAAGGTCTTTTCACTGCCAAAGTCTGCTGGTTTCCCATCAATTCCATACTCTCGGGCCGACTGAAGAGGTGGGAGCCTTCCGGGAAGGCAGGAACTCTCAAGCTCCACCCATCCAAGTCTGGAGTCCTTTTTGTTGGGAGCAAGGCCAAGCAGGTGGAGGTGGGGGTGGAGATGCAGGGAGAGAGCTGTGTCTCATCTTAGACAGGGAAGGGTACACCTCTACCCTACCCCTGGGGAGGTCCTGACTACAGATCCCAGCCACTTTTCTTTGGAGGACCCCCATCTGCTCACATTCAATGGCACACTAGCTGCCACAAGCCCCTCAGTTGGGCCACTGCACCCCAGGGGCCTTACCCCTGGCAAATCTTTCCCGAAAGCCAGGACCTTCCCAGTGACACTCCGCACCCAGTTATCCATCTGCCAGCTCTCTGGCCTGGTACTCCTGCAGAGAGCCCCCGCCCACAATGCCTCCAATCCCTGTCCTTGCCCCAGAGGACAACCATTCTGTGTGAGATGGCCTCAGTGATGTGTGGGTGGGTGATGGGGGGGGCAGTTCTTTAATCCTTATTACCCCCCTGGATAGAGCAGGGGAGGCAGATGAGGGTCCCAGTCAATACAGACAAGACTATCTGTGTCATGCTCAGGGGCGGGACCACCCTTCCGTCCAACCTCCAGAGTGCCGGATGTACTTTACTGACAGGGAAACTGAGTCACAGAGCAGCGGATTCGTTTCAAGACCCACAGCTTATGTGTAGGGCTGGGCCTGTCGGGATCTAGGCCCCCAGCCCAGAATGTTGGCACCTGCCTACAGCCCCCCCTTTCCTACTGCAGGAGCCCTCTCCCCACTCTGGGGTGAGTAGGCTTAAGCCACTAAACAATTGACAGCCCCAAACCTCGAAAGCTGGAGTTTGCTCCCTGGTTCCATTTTCCCTCCTCTTCCAGAGCAAGACCGCTTCTGCCTTTCTCCCTCCCATCTGCCATGACTGACATATGGTAAGCACTTTGTCAGTGTTGTTAAGTGAGTTTCCCTTGGCAGCGAAAGCATAAGGGCAGGAATTGCTCCTGTTCCCAAGACACCCAGGGGCTCAGAACTACTTCCAATGTTGTGCCTTCAAGGTCAAACCCGGAACCATGGTGGGGCTGTGGCCTATTCCCAGCTCACTGAACTCCTTCAGAAAAGAAGTGTGGGAAGAGACCTTTTTCATTCCAGGCTCTACCCCTGACTAGCTGTGGATGCTATATAAAGTCCTGCCCTTTTCTGTGACTCAATTTCCCCATCTTTATAGGAACAGTGTAGTCATTCATTCTCTTGCCTCATTTGAGACCTTAGAAGCACTTAGGATGAGTGAGCGGTTTCCAACTCTGTTGCTGATAGGATATGTGCCCTTGAGGTTGGCCCTGCCCCAGAGTGGGTTTGTTTTTCCAGCTGTACTATGATGGAGAGGCAGCCTCATTCTGCATCTTCTTCCAGCTGTGGCTATCTTTCCAGGGATCCCAGCCTCCCTCCCCCAATGTGGAACTCCCTCCCACCCCTGGTGTCTTCCCTGGAACCTTATAAAGCCATTGTTTACACTGGGGCTCACGCTCAGGTCTCCAGCTGCCCCAGTGACAGGCCAAACACCAGGCAATTTGAGCAACAGCACAGCTGAGTCACACTTTCCAGCTGGATCAGGGCCGGGTTGGGCCTCTTTCCCTCCAGGCCAGCCTGCTGGGCAGCATCTCCTAAGTCCATATATGACCTGGAGATAGCACCAAGCCCATCCTCCCTCACCTGCACAGCTTCTCTGAGAATATGTACGCACATGTGAGCTGCCCCTCACAATGGCTCCAGGCCCTGAGGGGCATCTGCATACACCTCTAAGCTCTGTCCCTGACTCACCTTACTTCGGTCAATACCCTTCCTCCCTCTGTGTCTCTGTCTCTTCTCCTTACAATATGGGTAGGAAAAGTGATGGGGCAAGTAAAGAGCCACCAAGTGGGGGGTTAGGAATTCTAGTTTCTGGCCCAGCTCTCACCTCAATCCCCCGGGACACTCTGAGCCCATCCCTCTCCTTCCCTGAGCTTGTCTGGAATGGGCAGTTAGCTCAGGGTCTGAATTCTCTACTGCGGCCCTGAGGTGACTACAGAGGAAATGCCACAACTGGATCAGGGATCCAGGACCCCAATCAGAAACATCTTCCTGTTAAACTGGCCCTGCTCCTGAGCTCCCAGCGTGGAGTGTGGCACCTCCAACTCCCCAGTGCCCAAACTACAGGCCTGGGAGGCTTCCTTGACCCTCCTTCTGCCTCCCCATCTGGATCCATCAGAAAGCCTGTCGCTCTACTTCTTATTAAGCTTCTCCAGCTATCTAGCGCACCCCCTTGCTCTATATCCCTCATGCAAGGAGCACTCTTCAATGCTAACCAGACCACATACATCCCTCCTCTGCTGGGAAACCTTTTATGACTCTTGTCCTCGGGAGGAAGTTCGAACATCTGTCCCTGGCCCCCACCTCCCTCTCACACCCAGACTAAACTTCCTTCTCTCCCTGGGGGTGCAGTGCTCTCCATCTCTTGCACCCAGCTTCGGATGAAGGCTCATCCTTCTCTCTGCGACTCCCTTTCCCTCCTTTAGCCTGAACTTTGTCTTTCAGAGACCAGCTTAGTTTACACTTTTTTCAAATGGCTGTCCTGGACCTGCAGTGTGGGTCAGGTACCTCTGCTGGGGTCACTCCTGGGCTTCGTCCATCTCAGTCCTGTCCACCTGGCTCATCACTTCCCATTTAGGGGAATGGCCTTGCCAGAGGACAGGCAGGGCCAAGTCTGGCTCCTTCTGGCTCATGTCAGGGTCCCCCTGCTTCCACCGCCCACCTCCCAGGCCTCTCTCTGTGCCCTGCTGAGCGTAGGGGGCAGGCAGGCGAGGAGGCATTTCTCACCGTGGGGCCCGGAGCAGGGGTTAGGACTTTTTGGTTTTTACCAGCCCCTTCTGGACCAGACAGCGGTAGAACTCCTGGATGTACGTGTACACGCACTTCCAGTCAGGCTCTCGAAGCCGCACCATGTCCTCTGTGTCCAGGAGCTGGGGGCAGTCCGCATGGGTCCTGGGGAGGGGAGGGGGCCGGGGAGGGGTGGGGAGGCAGGGCCCAGGTGGGGAAGAGGGGGACGAGGCAGAGGAGAGAGAGGGAAGAAGAACGGAGAGACACACACATACACACACAGAGACATGAGTTCAGTTACATTCTCAGTGCTGCAGTCTGCCAGCCCCCCGCATGCCCCCTCCCCATCGTGGACGTGCCGCTCACTACCCATTACTAATGGTGTGCGATGCAGACAGGGGTGGGGGGGCAGACCAGTCACAGGTGCAGAGAACTCTTGGGGCAAGCGGGAACACGGGGTGGGGGCGATGGCGCTGGCGCCCAGGTTGGAGAGGAGGGCTGTGCCCCGGGGAAGGGGGTGAGGTAGGCGTGAGAGGAGGTGGAGGGGGCAAGAAGAGAAAGCTATCTGGGGGGAACCAGAAAGAGAAAGGCAGAGAAGAAAAACAGATGGAAAAGGGTGGTGAGGGTGAGGTGAGCAGATGGGGCAATGATTCCAAAGTGGAGGGCTTGCTGATGTCCTATATAAGCCTCTCGCAACACCTATATAGGCTGGGCGGGCAGGGTGCCCGGGCCAGGAGCCTCCTTTTGGAATCTCCAGCCGGGATCCCGTGGGAGCAGGAAGCTCTGGTGACAGTGGGAGGAGAGCAGGACAGAGGAAGGGAGAGAGGGAGCAGGGCGCAGAGAGAGGATGGAGGGGACATGGACAGGGCCACCTGGTGGGCCTTGGCCTGGGCTGGTGGGCGAGCCTGTGGCTCCTTCGTTCCGGCGGGCACCTGGCACACTCAGCGTCGGGTAGGCGGGATGGAGGAGGACAGGGCCCTACTGGGGCGGGGGTTCTCAGCCTCTGTCTGACAGTGAAGCTGGCCAGCTTCAGGGGGTCTCGGGGCAGCTGGGCCTGGCCCAGATGCCCAGCCCCAGATGCCCAGCCAGCACCAGCAGGGCTGGGGCCCACACTTACTCAGCGGATGAGAAAGCCACCTCAAAGTTCTGGCGCCGGTTCTGCGGGCTGAGCTGCCCATAGTCAAAGGCCTCAGGGAAGAAGTTGTGCACCAGGGCACAGAAGGCCATCCCGTCACTCCAACTCGAGGAGAAGTTCTGGATGTCCACGTGCTATGGGCGGTGGGAGGACCGGTCAACTCCCCCGAGTATTTGGGCATGACATACCTGCTGGGCTCAGAGAGGCCCTACAGCTTGTCTGAGGCTGCGGAGCAGCTGAGCAGCGGGAACATGAGCCTCCTCCAACTTAGTCTATCAGCTCCCATGTCCGCAACTTACAGGAACGGCGACCAGGAGGCCCAGCGCCACCCAGCTAAGGCTATGCCCCCATCACGCCTTCCCTTACTTACAGAAACTTATCCAGCGCCCCCAGAGTAATGGGGAGGGGACTCCACGGGTAGGGTCTGGGCCTGAACTGTGCCTGCCATCCAAGGGGCCCTCGTTCGGGCCCGCCACTCAATGACTTATTGTGGAATTTAGGGCATGTTATGTATCCTCTTTGAGCCTGCTTCCTGTTAGAGGATTTCCCGTCTTCCCTGCCAAGCATGGTGGCTGTGAAGGGTACAGGTTGGAGAGAAAGCGTTCTGCCAAGAGGGAGGTGTGGAGCTGCCGTCTAGGGGACTGTCCACCACCTGGCCTCACAGCTCACCTCATAGCCACGCGTCTTAGCTCGGCACCAGTCTAGCAACATCTGCTTGATGCTGTTGGCGTTGGGGACCCCGAAGCTGGTGGAGCGCTGCACAGCTGCACGGGGTCCACCAGGGCTGCTGTGGGGGTATCAGTAGGAGCTGAGTCACAAGACTATAGGGGGCGCTCCTTCCGTCAGCCCACCCAGTGGACCTCAGCTCCAGATTGTTTGAGCTCTAGGCTCCCCCAGCCCAGCCCTTTCTGTTTATGGCCCCACTCATCACTTCCCATGCCCGGCCCCAGCCTCGCCCCTACCCCTCGTCCTGCTGCAGCTCACCCTGCCGCGCCCTCCTTTTCCAGCTTCTCAATCATGGCCTTGCGTGCCTGGGAGGCCGAGGTCTTGGGTAGGCTCTGTGCCTTCATCAGCTCTTTCTTCTTCTCTGCCTGGCGTTTTTCCAGCGCTGCCAGGCTGCCAGCTCGTGAGCTGGTCTCATCCTCACGGTCAAAGATACTGGGGGATGGGGAGCTGACTATTAGGGCGCTCCCAGGTCTCAAACCCCACTCACCCAGGGAGGGGTCTTGTCGCACTCCACACCCTACACTCTTTCAGAATCTTCTCTGGCAACGCCAGCCAGCAAAGGAGGCTTCCTCATCACACCATTTTACAGAGGGGCACGCTGAGGCTCAAACGGAAAGAAGACAGGAGTCAAGCTCTTTTCAACAGACTTGGCCTCTGAGCAGTTCTCTGAGAAGGCTCACTGTATTGTCAAGTGACGTGTGAGTTCGGATTATGGACATTATCAACTAACCACGATGATCGGCATAATAAAAGTCATGGTAACAATAACCACAGCTCGTGTCTATTGAGCCTTTGCTACATGCCATTTAAAACTTGACAAGAGGAGAGAGGGACTCTTATCATTCACACTAAAGATAAGGAAACTGAGAACCCGGTCCTCAGATTTCTGAGGGCGTGGGGAGAAGCGCAGGAACCTGGGAAGGCAGGTCTCTCTGACTCAGGAGTCCCGGAGGAGTCCCTGGACCCCTCTGGTCCCTATGCTGAGTTCTGATCCTGTCCCTGCTTCCTATCAGCCCCAACATCTCTGTAATGTAGATAGAGGGGTCTAAGCCCCTCCCTCATGGGTCTAAGTCAAAGGAGCTCTGTGACAGGGGCTGTGGTCTGCAGACAATGGTAAGTGACAGTGTCACCAGGCAGCTCAGTGTAGCAGATAGGCCTCTCTAAGGGTCCGATGCTATTGTTGCCATTCAGAACTATGGGACCCGGAGCAGAATCTCTGGCCTCCCCCCTGGTGCAGTGGAGGCCTGGGTGAGATTACAAGGTGAGCAGGAGTGGTCTGACTCTTACTCCTCCCCTCCCTGGTTGTATGCCTATCATGTCCCAGCTCCTTGGTCTACACCCCTGCAGGATGGGTGTGCAGTGAGGTCCCCTGTGACGCTGACTCCTCTGTGGCCTGGGGGTGGGTACCTGTGCTCACCTGCCCATCTTCTTGGATGATGAGGAGGAGAAGGTCTTGGTTTGCACCATGGTGCTGCCACCACCATCTGCAAGAAAAGCGAATAGGAGCGTGGTGAGGCCTGGGCTGGATATCAGCAGATGGGGTGGGGGTATGGGGAGGGATGGTGGTAGCCACAGGCAGAGTAGAGGTGACAACTGAACAGAGAAACACACAGACAACAGTATGAAAAGAGAGTTCGAGGAAGAGCCCGAGGAGCCAGGCAGGCAGGCGGGCACAGGGCGCTGTCTGGTGGCCTTACTCTCCGAGCGCCTCACAAAACTTGACTCGACAGTGGTGGTACGGGCCGTCCTTGTGCCATCATCTGGAGGGGCAGGGGACAAGAGGAAGAATGTGAGAGGCACGAGGGCCGCTGGGGTAGACATGTCCCCACCCTGAGCCCTGAGCCCTGTTTGGCCCCTTACTGGAATGGACGAGCCGCTCAGTCTTGGTGACAGTGCTGACGGACGAGCCATCGGCTGCCCGCTGGCTGTGCCTCGTGGTGGTCTCAGTGGCCACGTTGCCACGGCTGTCCCCCGGCCGGGCCCGGGCCTCTTGGAGCCGCCGTTCCCGTTCCTTGTCCCGCTGGTCTGGGCAGGGGATGCCCCATGCGTGCCCAGAGGGTCACCCATCACCCACACGGCACATATGCAGGGGCACAGGGGCACACAAGATGGGGTGGAGGGCAACTTGTTAGAAATATGAAGACACGGGGTACAAGGAATGGCTGGGGGTGAGGGAACAGCACCACTCGGCAGGGAATGGGGGCGTGTGGTGCGTGGTGATGGACTCGAGAAGAAACATGGGCCTGTGGAATAGCTGAACTCCAAGGGGGAATCATTGAATCTGGAAAGGGAGTTTCTATGGGACTGACTAGCTGATCTGGAGGGAGTATCTGGACCTAGGGAGGAAGCCCCAAAGTCCAGGGAAGGAGAAAGTGAGTGAGGGCAATGGTTGAGTGGGCCTTCAAATGGGGCTTAGCCAGAAGAGTGCTAGAGGAAGAAAGAGCCAGACCCAGGGAAGGAGAAGTCAGAGGTGCCTGAGGAGCAATGTGATCCAGGGAAATAGTAGTTGGGAGAGAAGGTGGCGAAGCGGGTAACCGGGCCTAAAGAAGAAGTAGGTGGGTGGAAACAGGCTGGGTGGCCATCAGTGGGCCCTGGAGGAAGTGGCTACGTTCAGAGAAGGAAAAATTGAGAGTATCTGGGGAAGCAAATGACTCTGGAATCAGAGGGAAAGAATAGCTGGGTTCATGGAGGAAGTAGCTCTGCCCAGGGAAGGGGAAGGTGAGTGGGGGCAGAGACTCAGGTGGTCATCAGTGGACCTCAAAGAGAAAGAAGCAGCTGGGAAAAGGAGTATCTGGAATCGGGGGCGGAGTGGTTGACAGGACTTGGAGAAGCAATTGGATCCCAGGAGGAGTAGCTGGGTGAGAGAGTAACTGGGTCTAGGAAGGAGAAGAGAAGCTGGTTGGGGATGGTAACTGCGGTGGCCAGGGGGAGAGAAGCAGCTAGGGAAGGGAGCAGCCGGGAGAAGGAGGCATGGCAACAGCTGGGTCTACAGAAGAAGCTGGGTAGGGCAGTTACTGAGCTGGTGTGTTTATAAACGGACTCCAGAGTAGAGGGAGCAGCTGGGGAATGGAGCAGCTGGATCTAGGTGGGGCAACGGGCCATCTACCTCTCTTCCTTTGTCGGAGCTCACGTAGTGCAGCCCGAATAAGCTTCCGCTCCTGGAAGTCCGTAGTCTGATCCAGCTGCAGACAGACCCCTGTCATTGCCCACCTGGTGCCAGCTGGTCCCTGTCCCTGCCAACCCCCAGCCACCAGATCTGGCCATACCATCTTGTCTAGGATGGCCTCATCCTCGATGGCCATCAGCTCCTCAGTGCTCAGTGGGCTTCGCCTCTCTGGTGCTTTGTCCACCCGGGTCTGCTCAGCACCATTGGCCACTTCCACTGCTGCAGAGGGGGGCTCTGCTGGCTCTGGTTCCATCTGTGGAGTGGGGAGAGGGCAGAGACTTTAAGCAGAGGCCTGGATGCCAGGGTGCCAGGCCAGCTGGTGCTATAGCCTTGGAAATAATCACTAGCCAGCCAGACTACCTGCCCAAGGGTGGACATGGAGGTGTCAGGCTCAGGGAAGACGCACTGAGAGCCTTCTTGTAAGGTTTCCCATGTACCCAGGATTGCATTAATATAATTAGTAGTGGCAATATTGGTGATTGTCATGCATTAGTAAGTACTGTATAAACACTAGGGATTTCATTGTCCCTATTTAACAGAAGGGAAAACTGAGGCTCATGACAGTTCAGTGACTTGCCGACAGTCCTCCAATAAGTACAATGCAGGCCAGATCTGAGCTAAAGCAGCCTAGATCCTGAACCTGAATTCTTTCTACTGTTTCATTCCCAGCCCCCTCGGAGGCAGGCTGTGCTATCCTGCCAGTTTCCAAGGCTTGGGTCCTCCTGGGCCACTTGCCCAGGCAGCAGATTCCCCTCCACCTTCCCCCCCCATACGCACCAAGAAGGCTGGACCAGGGCCCATAGGCTCCTGACCAGGTGTCTGACTGGGGCTGCTCAGCGCCAAGGCCTCTCTGAAGCTCATTCCTACTCCTCTCCACCCACTGGGAACCACCCTCTAAGGGGCCTCCAGCCCCAACCTGGGGCATCTCCCTAGCACCTTGCAGACAAGTCCCCAGCCCAACTATCACAGCCCCTCCCCTCCTGGCAGGGCCTCTCTGCTATAAGGGTAAGAAGAGCCGAGGTGGCAGCTGCTTCAGGGAGGTTCAGCCTGGCTGGGGCAGGGGGTGGGGATGGAGCTGGGGGCTGGGCCCTGGCTGCTAGGGCAGCCGCCACGCGTGCCTCAGGGCCAGGAGCCTGATACCCTCTCACCTCAGTCTTGGAGTACCAGTGCCTCAGTCCCTTGTATGGATAGGTAAACTGAGGCTCAGGAATGGTGGCAGTACACCTAAGGTCACTAAGCAGAGGCAATCCTGGCTCAGAACCACCCCAACCCCCAGCCCACAGAAACTTACAAGACTGCCGCTGTGGGTAGGGCCAGCAGAGGAGCTGCGGCGGGTGCTGAAGGCAGGTGGGTGGGCCACAGGGGTCCCAGCATCCTCAGCAGCCTGGAAGAGGGCCTCGGGGTCCGCAGCACCCAGGAGCAGCTCGCTGGGCTCCAGCTCAGGCTCAAGGTCGGGCACCAGTGGGACCCCCAGCCGCAGGCTCAGCACTTCCACCTGCCTGCCCAGTGCATCCAGCCGCCGGCTCAGAGCTGCTGTCTCCGCCCGCAGCTCTTCAGCTGCTCGGGCTACTGGCTCCACGGTCGAGGCAGCTGCCTCGGCTGCCTGGGTCACTGCCACCCGGCCTGCCTCAGCCACTGCTCGCAGCTCCTCCAATGCCTGGCCCAGTCGTTCCTCAAGAGCTGCGACTAGCTCAGACCCAGGCCCTGGTACCCCCGGCATGGTGGGGTGATGATGGGGACAGTGGTAGGGACTGCTGCCTCTGGCTGGTAGTGTCTTTGCAGCTGGTCTGAGGGCGAAGGCAAGGGCAGTGGGCCTGCCCCGCCCCTGCTGGCCTCCCAGCCCGCCACCCGCCAGCTGGGGCTGCAGCCCAAATAGAAACCTATTCTGAGCTCCCTGTGAAGGGGGCGGTGGGGGAGGGGTGGCCTGTCCAAGCAGCCTGACCAGCAGGGTTGGCCCTGGCCCTACAGAGATCAGATCTGAAGCACAGCAAGGCTGTGTGTGGTCAGAAGAATTACTGAGGCAGGGCCCCATGCCCTACGAGTGGGGAAAGTGAAGCAGGGAGCAAGGAATGGGCCTGCCTGGGCCACCGTGTGCATTAACAGTGAGGATCCAGCCTGCTACACTCCAGGGCCTGCACTCCTTCGCCTTCATGCCACGCTCTTTTAGAAAGCCTTGAATAGATGAGAGAAATGGAGGCACCGGGAGGCAGAATGTTGAGCAACCTACTGTAACAAGCGTCTTGCCCCTGAGACAAATGTCCTCGGATGCAACCGCAGACTTTGAGCAAGTACATTATAGGCACATTATCTGCTTCCCCTCGGCTCCCCTTGGGAAACTGAGGTGATGTCCCCCTTGGGAAGTTGGTGGCATCAGTCCCAGGGCTCACTGTGGCACTTCCTACAGACCCAAAGGGCCTCAGTCACTCAATCCTTCCTTGCTCCCTTGCCAGAGAGCAATTAGGTCCTGCCCTGTGGGAGGAAGGGCGTTTTCTTGCCCCTACCCTTTCCTTGTCACTCATGAGAAGACTGAAAGCTGGCTCTAGCCATCTCACCTCAGCCAAAGTCCCATTCAGTCCCTGGTGCTGCACAGAAGGCATTACCTGGCAGCTGGGTGGCCTGCTGGGGAATTCTTCCCCGGCTGAGCTTCCAGCCAGCTGATCCCAGGCTTGGGAATGAATAATGGAAGGGTGCAATGGATTCAGTTCCCGTGGCACCTGCTAGGTTTCTGCTTCAGCTGATTGGCACCCCCTGCCCCATCTGTCCCCCATCAATGCTTCTTCTCAGAACCCCCTCCCAACGTTGATGCAGATGCTAATCGCTAATCTCCAATCTTCTAAGGGCCCAGGCTGATCTTAGATGAGCAGATGATCATCTCTGCACCTCATTGGCTGAGGTCCAGTGTGGGGTAGGAGCAGGGGCACTGGCGCTGCCGCAGCGAGAAGGGGGCAATCCCTCTGTACCCTTCCTGAGCCTCAGTTTTTTAATCTGTTCATTAGGAATCAATCAACCAATTTTGGAGGAAGGATCAGAGATCAGCATGTGGGAAGCTTAAGGCCCATACAGAGTAAGCTTCCGACACATCTAGTGGATGATAGGCCAGGGCCTGGCCTTAGTTGTGCAACCAACTGTCTGTGGACTATGGGCTGCCACTTTCTCTGGGCCTCAGTTTCCCCATTGTGCAGTGGCAGAGAAGCGGAGTAGAGGAACCCTGCCAGCCCTGTACCTGAAGTGGTCTATATGAGGTGGATGGTGATGCTGGTGGGTGAGGAAGGGCTCACCTTAATGCTGCAGCCTCCTTGGCCACCAGGGGAGGCATGGCCGAAGCTGGTGATGTGAGTGACACTGCCCAGCCGGGCTGGTGTCCCAGGGCTGCTGATACGGGTGATGGTACTCTTGCCCCCACCGCTGGTGCTGAGAAGAGTGGGGGGCGCCCGCAACCCTAGCGTGAGTTCTGGAAGGAGAGACAGACTACTGTCAGGACCAGGTGGGGTGAGAACAGTGCCAGCCAAGGTCGATGACACCCCCTTGTTCCCAGAACACCCTTTGCACACCCTGAGCCCGGGCCGCAGCACCTGTCCTATGTGCAGAGCTGGGCAGCTGCAGGCACACATCTCCAGCAGGGGGGAGACCTACCTGCCCTCTGGCCGCCTGTGGGCAGCAGCACCCGGCCTGTGGGGGTCTGGCCACGGCTATCCTTGATCTCAATGGTGAATGTCGTCTTCATATTGGCCCCTGGCTCAGCAGTGCTGACAGCCACGGGTAGCAGGGCACTGGGCTCCTCTGAGCAGACCACGGCCCCCCCTGCTCTATTTTCAAGGGGCCTGGCAGCCAAGCCCCGCCCCCTGGGGCCCTCCTCCTGGGGGCAGCTCCGAAGCCGAAGCCGCTGTGCTGCTCCTTGCTGCTCCTTGCTGCACCCAGAGGAGGTGTCACTGGGGCCCTGTGAGGAGGAGCTGCTGGAGGAGGAGGCAGGGGTGGTACTGATGTGGGAGGGGCCCAGGAGTCTTGCACGGGTTGAGGGACCTAGAGCTGCCCGAGGTGGGCCATCCTGGAGTGCAGCACCCATAGGGGAATCAGATGTGAACTTGCGCATGCGGTCCTGAACAGAGCCACTGCGCTGGAATGGGGAAGGTCCACTGGCACGGGCGGCGGGCTCTAGAAAAGACAGGAAGGCTGCTGGTGGCTGGGTGAGACAGGGGCTGCCTCAGGCCTGGGGTAGTGGAACAGGCAGTACCTCGGTTCTGGTCTGACTGGCGGGGGCTGAGCACGGACAGGGAGCTTTGGCAGGGATGGGGTCCAGCTAGGTCTTGCAGTATCAGCCATGTAGGGGGACAGAAAGGAGAGTATATGGAGGTCCCTTCCTGCATCCCAACCTGCCCAGCCCATCCTGCACCTCCCATAGCTCCTGGCCTCCCCACTCAGTTGCATCTCTTTTACAGGCCCCTACTCCCCCTCCCGCACTGACCACAGCATGACTGGATATTCCTGGGGGCTGAGGTTAGGCTTGGGCTGGAAGAAGGGTGCCCAGGTCCTCCCTGCTGATGGGGATGTAGGACACCACCCTCCCAGCCCGGCCAGCACTGCCCACAGCTCCAGCCGGGAGATGGGCGCACTCCCTTATTGGGGAAAAGAATGTGCCTGAGGCCTGTTGCCTTTCAAGGCTGCAGGGAAGCCTCTGGCCATGGGTGGGAGGGGGTGGGGACACCTTGGGGGCAGTGGGAGGAGTGTTAGGGACTGCCTGGACCTCAGGAGGCTGGAGCTGTCTAGGCACAAGAGCCCATTTCCCAGGCAGGAAAAGAAGGGCTAGGGGAAGGGAAGGCAGATGCCCGTAGGTGCCCTTGCTGGGACCCTCACCTGCTCTCTTTGTGTTGGAGGGGCCTTTGGTGGGGCCTTGGACAGCAGGGGGCTCTGTGGGGTCAGGCAGGAGCTGCAGGGAAACATGGTGTGGGCAGGGCCTGGCTCCCAGACAAAGGAGCTCACCTGCCTGGCATCCCTCCTCGTCATCCAGACTTACCTCATTGACCTCCAGTCTCTTAGGGCTGTGGGGGGCTGGAGTCTCTGGGGGCTCAGGGCTGGCAGCCCTGGGCGGGCTGGGGGGTGGCTCGGGGCTGCTCAGAGCCTCGGCAGCAGGGCACTGGGCCTTGGCAGGCTCCAGTGGAGGCTCAGGAGAGGCAGAGGTGGGCGAAGTGTCCGGTGAGGCAGGTGAGCTGGATGTGCTCCCAGGTGGGACCTGCAGTAGGAGTGTCACTGTGGTCACATCCCGACTGATGACTTCAGGGGTTGGTGTTGGCTCCAGGACCTCTGCCTTCAGCTCCCGTTTCTCTGATTCTGGCACCTGTGGAGGACACACAGGATGTGGCCAAGCCTCCCCAGGCTGTCAGGTGCTCAGGGCAGGGCATGCAAAGCAGAGGAGCTGGCCGTGGCTTGCTGCAGGCACTCCTGCACAAGCATTGGCACTGGCATGCCATAGGCAGTTTCTGATCTGCACTTCCCAGTATCTTGACACTGCCTAGTCAAGGGAAGTTCAGAGAAGACAAGATCCTAATGCAGGGGTTGGGATGGCAGGACACCTGCTGGGGACTCCCAGACTTAACAGATCCCTAGACCAGAGGCCCTGGAACCCCGGCCCCAACTTGGTTAATCAGGGAGGAGGAGGGGTGTTCTGCCAGGGACACAGCGACCTCTGCTGGCCACTTAGGGGACCAGCGTGGTCTGACCTCTCACCCACACTCCCTGGAGAACAGAGTCCCCTCTGTGAACAGTGTTCCTTGAGTCAGCTCCGGCCTGAAAGGCAGGCCCTATAAGCCAAGGTAAGCATGTGGGCTGTCTGGAGGGGAAGGGGCAGCTTCAGTATAAGTTTTAGCCAGGGAGGACCCAGGGTCGGATATGCATTTCAAGGAGATGCCCCTGTTTGCTGAGTGGAGGCTGGATGGCCAGCGTGGGGGTGGAAGGTAGTTGTGGGGGTAGAAGGTAGGTGGGGAGGCCAAGCAGGGAAGTCAACAGGGTGGTAATGGAGATGGACAGGAACCTGGGAGCAGTGCAGACAGGCTAGCTTTGAGGGGAAGACCTGCGTACAGACAACCGTGGAGTGGAGGACATATGGCCAGGGGGAGCCTGGGAGGGAGGGCAGAGGCTGAGATAGATCCCAGTGTCCCCCAAACACAGCTGGGGCTTTTCTCAGCCAAGGGCCAGTCTGCAAAGACACAGGGGTCTGGGCTGCTGGCATCTGCGGGCACAGCACCCTGGGCCATCCTCCCACCTTGGCCACCTCTCACCTTACACCGGTCTAGCCTGTGTGCTGCCCGCCCCTTGCTGTCCTCTCTTGAGTCACTGTTGGGTTGCCCGCTGCACAACCTTCCAGCCAAGGTGGCCGCTGAAAGAGATGGGAAAAGTGAAATGTCAGGTGAGGGCTGAGTGGCACTAGGGGCAGCACAGGCAGGCCTGGGGCCAGGGCAGGACGTGTACCCTCAATCTCCTGGGCCCGTACTCGGCGGATGGCAGCCCGGATCAGCTTGCGTTCCTCGTACTCACTGGCACCTCGCAGCTGTGGGTGAGGCAGGCCGTGGGTTTTGGGCTATGGAGTTCAGGTCTTCACCTCCCCTGCCCCCATCCCCTGCCCTGGCCTGGGCCTCACCAGTGCAGTCAGCTCCTCCACATCACTCATGGACTCCAGCCGCCCTGCCAGCTGCACCAGAGCAGCCCGCTGCTCGGCCTCCCGATGCTGAGAGCTGCAGGGACATCATTCTTATAACCCTCACTGCCATGGAGGATGTGGGCTGAAGGCAGGGGCCAGGACAGGGTACCCAGAACCTTGGGCATGTGGCTGTGAACACCCTTTGGCTACATGCTGGCACATGCATGCCTGTGGACATGAGCACTAATATCACACACTCAGACATGCTGTCCACTTTGGCGTGGCCAGGACACCACAACTGGCATGTCGTCCTTGCCCACAAACACCATCCCTGTGTGGTCCAAATGCATGTCTGTACTGCCAGTTGCATACCCAGGTAGGCAGCAGACACACCTGAGCTGTGCCTGCCTGCACAATGTGAACTGAGCCCTGGCACACAGTCCTCCCACCTGCATGTCCATGCACCTCCCCCCGCCACCTCCTGCACACACTCACTGCAGCCAGTTCTCCTTGTTATCCTGCCGCTCAGCACGGAAGCGTTTGGATGCTAGGGCTTCCTCCTCTCGCTCTAACTCCTGCCGCTGCAACTCCCGGATGGCCGAGCGGATGCGCCGCCGCTCTGCCAGATCCACTGTGACTTCCAACTGCAGGGCAGGCGGGGGCGAGGGGCGGGTCATTTTGGCTGCCAGGGGCAGAGGGTGGGCACCAGCTGCCCACGGCTTGGCCTGTGGTACAATGAGTGATCTATCTCCACACCCTCTGCCCCAAGCCTGTCACGTGCCCGCCCACCACCCCCCCACCCTCACAGGGTCTCAGGGGGAGACCCAGCTCACACAACCTGGGCTTCTGCACAGCTCACCATGGTTCACAGAGTCGGCAGCCAGCAACTGCCCACCTGTGCCAGGTGCTAAGCCAGGCACTCCTGTGTCTCAGAGCTCTTCATCAAACCCCTGAGAGCCTGGGAATCATGGACTCGTGGAAGGAGGAGGAAGAGGGAAGCCATCCTATGGGCCCCTAACAGTGTCCCTGGGGACAGAAGGGTGACTGTGAGAAAGAGATCCCCATGGTCTTGTCTCAAAGGACACAGCTCTGCTGAGGGGTTACAGCCTCACCCACATTGGACTGATTGGGAAACTGAGGCAGGGGCTGGCACTCAGGCATCCTAGCTCCCCTCATGGCTGGCAGCTATGCACTGGCCCAGGCCTAGCCACCACTGAAGGGGGGGAGGGGATATGGCCCAGAGTGGGGGGTCCAACTCCCAAGACCGATATGGCAGCTGCACTAGGATTCATCCAGGGTATCCATGGGGGACAGGTGTCCAGGCTTCTTAGCCCTTCGGTCCCTGGGAAATTGGGGGTAGCTGGTCTCACCAGGTCTAAGAAAGGGCACCCCCTGGGCAGAGTCAGCCAATCTTGTTACTTCCCCCACACCTCCACCCCCCACTGTGCTTCTGTGGCTCAAGGGAGAGAGGACTGCCCCAGGAAGATAATGGCAGAGATAAACCTCCAGTGTGAGTCTGAGCCAAAAAGGAACAAGAATAGTCAAGGTGATTTCCTCTGCCCCTACCCCCCAGATCACTTAGGTAGGACCCAGGAACCCTTTATCCCCCCCTCCTTTTCATCCTCCTCCCTGCTCCATGGGGGAGCTGGGTGGGAGCTGAGGGTATAGATTTCAGCAGGGGTGTGGGGCTGGCCTGAGCCATGAACTCACTTGTACTAATCTGAGGAGAATTGGGAGAGCCCTGGGTCCCTTCAGGCTCCACATTCCTGAGGATTTATGGAGCGTTGGGCCAGAATCTCAAGCTGGCCCCAGCCCTAGTCTAGTCCCGGCTGGGTGGTCAGGAACATGTCCTTAACCTCTGTGTCTGGTTTTCTCACTCACCAGATGGGACAATAGCTACCATTTCAGGGTAGTAGGTGAGGATAGGGGCAGTGACTTGGATCCGAGCCCCGCCCCCTCACCTGCTGCATAGCTTCTGTTGCAGTATTACCCACTGCTCGGTTTCAACCACTTAGGGAGGAGGGAAAGGTGAGGGCAAATGAGTACAAGATAACCGAGGCATTGGTAACATTTATTGAGAATCTGTATGCCACATGTTGTGCCCAGCCCTCACTTATCCTAACCTCATAGAAACCCTGGGACCCTATTACTTCCATTTGACAGATCAGAAAACTAAGGCTCGGGGAAGGTAAGTGATTTGCTTCTGGTCAAATGACCTGAGCTAGGATTTGAAACCAGGTCTCTCTGACTCCAGGGTTCTGTTGCTAGAGTCTTTCCTCGACAGTGGGTACCTTGAGGACCTTGTCACTGTGTTGAGGGCTCCCTTCTAGCCTGGTCTAGAGATACCTATGAACGGACTGAGGTGTGGGAGGGGAAGCTATTATAGCACAGGGAGGGAGAACAAAGGCTGACCTTCCCACCTCCCAACCTTGGCCTTGCCTCGCCTCAGATTTGGAGATTGAGGGCTGGAGAGGACAACTGGTCTAGCCCTTTCTATGCAGGGGTAAAGAGGCTTAGATGCAATGACTAGCCCTTTGTCTTCTGGGCCACCCTTCCCAATGCCCTAGACTCCAGAGATGGGGTCCTTGTCCCTAAAAGAAAAAAGAAAGAAAAAGCCTCATGTGGGAACTTGGCCACCTTTGCAACATCTGAGAGCCTTAGTGTCTCCATCTGGAAAATGGGAGCCTGTCTGATTCCCCACCCAAGTGGATAGGACAGGACCTGGGGGGTGGACAACCTCATTCCACTGGCCACCCTCCAATATGACCCTGCCCTTGGGCCTGGAGGCAGAGATCTGCCCACAGTGTCCCTGCTCTGTGTCCTGCATTCAGGGCCTCCCAGGCCCCATCGCTGTGTGTGGAGGGGGCTGTGTGAGGGAGGGAAGGAAGTACAAAGTGCCATTGTCCACTGGGGGAAGGGGAAAGGGATGGGGCTATTTCCGAAACTGCCCAGTGAAATTCTCCTGGGAGGAAAGAGAGCGCTTCCTCAGGGGCGGGGGGCACCTCCGGGTACTTTCTGCCCTAGCTGCTGGGGCCTCAGTCTCCCCACCAGCACAAGGGAGGAGACTTACTAGGCCTTGGCACAGTACCAGTTCCTCCAGTTACGGATGGGGCAGCGACTGGCAGTGTAGTGAGGCCTCGCCAGGGGGCGCTGAAGGCCCGCAGGCTCCGGAGCCCCGCCCCCGGGTTGTGTGCCTGCCCTCCGCCTTGCCCACAACAAGCAAGGTACTAGGCGTCCAGAAAGGAGCTATAAGGGAATCGTCCCGCTACTGCCTGTTTAAATAGCCCCGGCTATGGAGAGGAAACCGAGGTTCACAGAACTGAAGCAGCTTCTCTAGGTCACCCAGCTAGTTAGTGTCGGATTCCGAACTGGAACTCCGGACCCAGGTGGAGGGGCACGCGGCATGCACGTCCCGAGGCGCCCCCATTCCCACGTTGCCCCGCCAGGTTTTCAGGAATGTGCAGGAGCCGGGGCCGGAAGCGGCTACCAGAGTCCCCTTATCGGCTGGAGCGGGGGCCGGCTTTTCCTTATAAGGCCCGGCTCCGAGGGGAGGAGCCCGGCTCGGGGCACCCCCGTTCCTGCCACGAGGCCGGTGGAAGCCCGCCGGTGCGCGGGGCGGGACCCTCGGAAGCGTCGGAGAGAAGTAATGGCGGGCTCCCTGCGGTGGAGGAACCGGCCCAGGGTGGTGAAGACCTTGGGTGGCCTCTTGGTCCCGAGGCGAGGGGCGGGGGCTCGTTAGTCCTTTCCTTGGGAGGGGGACGGGGGTGAGCCGGATACATTCACTACCGTGGCTTCTCTGAAACTTTTTCCAGCGCCCAAATCCCGCATAGGTCTAGGGGTGGCGGCTGGAGGACCCTAAGCTTCAGAGGGAACCCCTAGAGATGGGGATGCGCGGAGACTTAGCTTTCTCTCTGGACCGCTCACCGTTTACTACCTCTTTTAGAATTCCTACTTCCTGAATGGAGGTCGAACTGACCTTTGGAAGCCCAGCCCAGCCCATCCCCTCCAGGCTGCACACCCCAAGCTGTGGCGGTGGCAAACACCGTAAAGGGCTTGTTTGAGGACACGCTGCCCTAGTGCCTTGGTAGATCATGGCAGCGGCTGAGCACTGCCCAATGGCTGGTCCGGACTGGCTGACTCCAGCCCGGGCTTTCAGAGGAATGGTAAGGGTGGGTCGGGTCACTTGCCTTCTCCTAGGGAAAGTAAATCTTTAATTCCCTCCCCGGACAAGGGTCAGGGGCTGGGGAGGTGGAGCACTGGTCCTTCATCCAGTTCAGCTGTTCTCTACCCTTGCTGGTGGGCACATGCCTATCCTGTTGTGTTGCCTCACTTCTTTGTGCACGGTGGGGGAGGGGAGAGTGCTTTAGAGCACTCAAGAAGCTTGAAAAGGGATAGATTGTGCCCATGCCGAATTTCCATGGCCATACCAACTCTAGAATATCTAGATCACACATTGCCCCTCTCATTTTATAGGAAAAGCAACTGAGGCTCAGAGTGGAAGAATGACAGATGAGAGTCACAGAGCTCATAAGACTCTTCTGGCCTTGACTTAGTCAGGACTCTTGGTTCTCCATGTCCCCCTTTGGGGTTTGTTTGGATCCTGGCACACCCTGTTCCTAGCTGGGTGCCTTTGGGCAGGTGAACTCACTTCTCTGAGGCAGTGTCCTCCTGGCTCTCAGAGCAGCTGTGACCATCTTGTGAGATGGTGTACCCTGCACCGAGCCTGCCCCTGCTATGCCCTGGCATTATTCATCATTGCTGCTACTATTATCACTGGGCCAGCCTCCAGGGGTGGACGCTGCCCAGGCTGTTGTTTGGGAGAGGCACATGGAGCCTCCCCACGCCTGTGGCTGCATATGGGTGAGTCCTTAGCAGTGACTGTTTAAACCAGTGGTAGCAGTAGGGGGCTGGTAGGGATCAGGCCTCAGCACCTGGCATGGACAGGCAAATGCCACTGGGGCCTCCACATCAACTATGTGGAACAGACCTAGCCCTTTTCCCCTGAGCTCCCCTCCTTTCCCCTCCTCCACCATCTACTCTTATCAACTGAGAAGGAGCCTGGAAAGTCCGGCCTCTGGCCTGGCTTGCCTTTCCTGACATTGGGAGTGATGGGGCCACTTACCAGCTTTCGAAGGGCTCCCTCGTCCAGCCCAGCTAAGGCCTCATCTGCCATCTTGCTGGCCCCTATCTCTGTTCTTCCCCTCTTGGTGAGATCTTCAGTGCCTGTGGCACCTAACACCAGCTCAGGGAATTCTGCAGGGAACAGATATAAGTCAGGCCTGCTGGGGCCTCTTCTAGTGCCTCAGTTTCCCCATATTACCTATGATCATTTGTTGCTGTCCCATCCTTGCTACCTGTGATGTGACTCCTGTCTGGGAGTTTCCCTCTGACCTATGGTTGTGTGCTGGAAAACAACAAATTAAGAGTCCCTGGTTCCAGTCCAGCCAACTCAACTACCAGCCTGCTGTATGGCCTAAACTGGGCCCTGACCCTGTCTATGCAAACAGGGAGGCTATGGACCTAGATAGAGAAGCTGGGCACCAGCAAGGCCCACCCAAGCTGTGATCACCACCAGGGGGTGCCTAGCAGACTCCACAGTTTCCTGCTCCACCCAATCATCCCCAAGGCCCGCCCAACCCCTCGTACCCCCCAAAAACTCAGCCTCTGGCTGTGGGCTGAGGCCTTATCTAAGTCCTTGCTGCTCCTGCCATTCTCATTCCCCTAGGTGACTTAAACCTTCAAAGTAACTGCCTTCCAGTTCTTGAGGACAGCCCTCTGTACACACCCCTCTCCATTCCTCCCATTTCTGTCCTCCCTCCAATGCCAACTGCCCTGACTTTATGAAGCAAGGTGTCCAGGCACCCCGCTCCTTTCCCCCATTCACACACTTAGAATTCAGTTCCTCAGCTGGAAGGACCTTCAGAAGCTGACCCATCCAACCTCTGGATTTAGGCAAATTGAGGATTAGAGTGGACCTGGGATTTGACACAGGGGGAAGAAAGATTCCAAAGCCAGAGGGATGGATTTTGTAAAAATCTTGGCCACCTCTGTCTTCTGAAGCCCCCTTCCAAAGTGCCCCCAGGGCTCAGGACATTCCCTTTTATCCCATCATTATCCATCAAAATGGCCCCCTAGAGCCTGGCCCAGCCTCCCAACTGCAGTTTTCCTTCCTCCTGCAGCCCCAGTGTCTTTCTGGAATTTGAAGGTCCACAGCCTGAAAACCATAGGTGCTTAGTTAATGTATGGTGATAGAAGTGCCCCCAGGATTCCCCTCTTGATTCATCACTCAGTCAACCCTTTCCTCTCCCCAGAACAGTCACTTGTTGAGTCACCCAATCCAGTGAATGGGTCTGGGGGATTCCTAATCCACAGTTGGTTTCATTGGACTCTGCCTGTTTAAATTGCTGCTTGCTTTTCCCATCCCTGTAGGCTCGGGCAGATGTCAGTCTCCCAGCTTTCCTCTGTTGGAGCCCTTGCTTCTTACCAATCTACTTTGGGGTAACCCCCTCCCCACCCCACCCAAGATTGTCACCAGTTACCAGACTTAAGTTTTGTGGACCCTGAGTTCCCCCCTGTCTTCTGAGGGGCGGAGGTCCCTAATCCGTAATCCAGGACCTCTAGGAGACTCAGTCTCTTTTTTCCTCGGGTATTCCTGCTGCCCTACTCCAGTCGCATGGCTCTCTGTCACAGTCTGGGGTCCCCTGTGATTGTGGGACACCTCAGTGGAATGTGGGAACTTCCCCGGAGTGGCTGCCCCCACTGGCTAGCACCCATGGAAGTTGTGAAGCTTCCTGGTCTCAGCCGTATCCCATGGTTTAGAACCCCTGCAGTTGGGTGGGGGCTCCGAGGTCTGGGAGTCCCAGAACTCCCACCCTAATACCCGGCTTCCACTCCGGGACCAGGAGGTCCCTACACCCACCTTTCGGTCTGGTTCGCCAGTCGCGAGCAGGCTCAGGTTAGGTCGCTTGGGATCCGACAGACAGCTAGGAACAGTCAGGCGGAAGGCAGTGACTGGGATCCCGGGACAACACGGCAACCGTCCTCAGGATTCTGGAAGCGCCGCCTGTCCAGCAGTGCCAGCAGCTCGGCTGGCCCCTCCTTGCCCAGCAGCACCAGCCAACCCTCGGGAGGGTCCCGCCCATCCTCGTGCCCCATTGGGTAAATTTAATTTGATGGCCACACCCCTCGCGGGCCTGGTTTGTAGGAGATTGTAGTGGTGGGACCCTGGCGTGGTGGCCTTGGCTGGTTGGGTGAGCGTCGCCAGGAGGACGCAGTTTTGCACCAAAGTTCAGGAAGGGCCCCCTCCCAGAGCCGGCGTAAGTGGCCAGGAATCGCTGGAGTCTAGGAGCTTTCAGGACAGCCCTCCTCTTTGTTCCTGAGACCACGGCCCCTCCTTCGACTCCTCCCCCTCGGTTGTTGGCTGCCTTTGGCTGCTGCCCCCAGGCTGCTCTCGGGACACCTGGTCGGAGCCACCTCAGAGTAGAGACTGTGTGGCCAGCAGCATTTTGACCCTATGTTGGGGCATCTCAGGGGCCACCTCAGATGGAGCGAGATCAGTCACACAGCACCCCTTTCTCAGCCGAGACCCCTTTGCCCAGGTATAGCCCTCATCTGCCATGCTTCTCCCGAGCCCTTCTGGGTCTGCTTCTTGGGGCGCTGCAGTCCTAGATTAGGGATATGGAGGAAACTGAGGCCCAGAGAGAGCTAACATGCCCAAGACAACACAAGAAGTCAGCCAGGGGACCCAAAGAGCTCAGACCCATTTCACCTCCCTTACTGGAGGCCCTGGAGCCTCCCACAGGTCTCCATGGAGACCGAAGGGAGCTGGAGCCTGGAAGGTGGGGTCTGGAGTCCTGTCTGTCAAAAATGATAGTATCAATTCATTTATTTTGTACTTGCCAGGTACCAGGCGCATATCCCCTATACTACCATTTGAGCCCAGGATTACTGTCCCATTTTACAATTGAGAACAAGAGCTGACAGGTAGTGGAAATATGATTTATATCAGTACCTTTTGAGTCCAGAATCTCTGGGGAAGTGGGCCTGTTGCCTCCAGCAGTCCCTCAGTCCCACCATTCAGATCCTAACCCACCCACCCCACCTTGCCCCCATCTAAAGAGAGGTTCAGTATCAGCTGCGAGACCCATTTAAAGGTGTCCTATTTTATCTCCATATCCTTGACAGGTAGTCTCATTTTACTAGTTGAAAAACCAAGGCGCTGAGAGGGAAGAGATTCGTTCAGGTCACATGGGAGAGGGAGCAAACAGAGCCCAATTTGGAGGCTATACTTCGAGGTCCCCTTCTCCTAGGCAGGCCCCCTCTAGGCCCTCACTGCTTTACTTCGACGCCATCTTATTCTGCAGCGCTAAGAGTCAGCACCCTCCGAGGCCAAATCTGCACAACTTCAAACTTCGCGCGCCCGTTGGTACAGCCCCTTGAGGCGGGGCACACCCCGGGCCGTTGGCATTTTCAGGGCCTGCTTGAGTGGCAACTCCCAGCTCCAATGAACGGCCTGATTCATGCTAGCTCCGCCTCCCGCAGGCTGGGCGGAACCTCACAGGTGAGTCTACCTCTGGATTTGTCCGTCAGTACAAAAGCTCAGCAGTTCTTGGTACCAGGAGCCCTCAGGGTTGGGGTCTGCCTATTTCTCTTCCTCCCTGCAAGCGGTGGGGCGGGATGGAACGGTGGTGGTGGTAAAACAAAGATCAAAGGGCAGTTCCATGTGCGCTGGAGAAGCTTTAGCCACGGCACAGGAACATGTAAACACCCCGAGAGGAGGGTTCCGGCAGGTACTGAACACCCGCTGCATGTCAGGCATAGGGTTTGCCCTATTGCAAGTTGACTATTGTGCAAGAGCAGTATTACCCAGATTCTAGAAAGGAGAAAGCTGAAGCTCAGAGATGAAGGCACCTTGGACTGGTAAAGGCATTCAAACTTGAGTGAAATTCTGCCAATGTTAAGGCCCCTTTCCTCCACCTCGCTGCCTCTAGGGTAGGGGAAATCCTGGAAGACTTCTCAGAGGCCATGATGTGCAAACCAATCCGTGAGGAAGGGTGAGAAGAAATCCACCCACTGAATAAAGGTGGGAAAGGCATGGAAAGGCCTCTGTGGCAAAGGAACAATGTGAATAGAGGCAGAGGGGTTTGTAATTGGGAAAAGGAGGAAGGGATGGGCTTGGATTGAGCAGGAAATGGGGGTGGTCCCTCCCATCCGTGAAGGTCCCTGAACACCAGGTGAGGAGGGTGAATATATCTTTGGGGCATTGGGGAGGCCTGGGTTCCAGTCTGTCCATCTGTAAAATGAGGGAGTTGGACTGGTGCACTTCAGGCCCTCCCAGGGCAAAGGGGTGTATCTGGAAGGGTCCACATTCCTCCATGTCCAACCTTGAACTTGGCAGAAAGGGAAGTAGCTGGAGCAGCTCAGGGGCCAATGGTAATATTTTGCTCTAGTGCCTGAGTCTGATAATAAACATTGTACCAGGCTGGCCGTGCCAGATCCCTGAATCACCCTGCTAGCTGGCTCCCACTCCCTCCCAGCCTGGATCCTGCAGAGAAAGCCCAGGCCTGGGGTCGGGACTCCAGAGCGGTGATGGATCTTAGCCCTGGATCCACCCTGGGCAAAGTTTTTGTCCTCTTGAAACCTAGGTTTCCTCATCTTCACAATGGCTGGTGAACTGTGGCCTGAGCTCACTAACCCCTCTCTCTCTAGACTAGACAACTTAAAATTCCAAGATTGTACGGGAGACCCCACCTTGACATGTTCTCGCAAGTGGCTGTGAGGCCAGCCAAGGCCAAGATCTTGGACCCAGGAGGGAGTCCAGGGGCTGCTGTGCACTGGGAGGGTGGGAGAGGTTAGAGATGGATCCAAGTTGGTCCTGCTCTTGGGGTCTCATAGCCTAGTGGTAATAGGGGGAGACATGGTGTGTAGAGTCTAAAAGTTGTCGAGGACGAAGCCCTCACTTGCTCTTTGGCAGGCTGAGGGAATGGGAAAAGGCAGGATGGAGAAAGGAACAGCACGAGCAAAGGAAGGGAGGAGTGTGAGGACTTTTGGGGGGGAAAGTCAGGTTGGTGAGGCTGGAGCATGGGGTCTCTAGAGGAAAATGGGTTCTAGTTAGGATTGGTTGGACCCTTCTTGTCACAGGCAGAACAGGAGGCCCCTAGAGTCATGGCCAGCAGCCCCAGGAGTGGGGCTGGAGACCTGTTTGGAAAACCAGTTTGGCAAGGCTGTCTCCTCCATGATGTCATCCAGCTGCTCTGTTCTCTGAGTGACAGTGCCAGATAAACTTCCGGCCTTGGGGGAGGAGTAAGGGGGACTGGCCCCAGGAGCTGAGGGATGGGAAAGGAGTGACTCTTCAATGTAGGAATCTTGGAGGCAAGTGGACCCCAGGAAGAAGACCTTGGGGGGCTTGAGATGCCCTCTAAGCTGCTGTGATGAACCCCAGGAGACCAGCCTCATGGACGTAGGAGAGGGTTCTATATGGCCTGGCCTGGATTTCCTGTGACTTCTTTGGGTTCCCTGCTGCCCGACTCCATCCAGGCTGCCCAGTGAGTTGGAACTTGGCTCCAGATCACCCTTACAATACATGAGTGGTTATTTTGTCATTACCATGACCCTCACAACTTGAGCCCTGTGAGGTAGGACCATCGTTATACAAATGAGAGGACAGGTTCAGTGAGGCCAAGCCACGCCAACACCTCACCCAGTATTCGAACCTAGAACTCTTGGTCTTAACTCTGGTACCCTGCCATTTGCCATTTGGGATCTCTTCCCACATGGGTCCTTGTCATATTTCTTTTTTTTTTAATCCTCATCTGAAGACATACTTATGATCTTAGAGAGGAAGGAAGGGAGAAAAGAGAAGAATAGAACGATGTGAGAAACGTCAGTTGGTTGCCTTTCGCATGACTGGGGATGAAACCTGCAACCTAGGCATGTGCCCTGACCAGGAATTGAACTCTTGACCTTTTGGTTTGTGGGATGATGCCCAACTGAGTCACACCAGCCAAGGCCATATTTCTTTTTTTTAAAGATTTATTTATTTATTTCTAGGGCAGAGGGGAAGGGAGGTAGAAAGAGAGGGAGAGAAACGATGTGTGGTTGCCTCTCATGCGCCCCCAACTGGGGACCTGGCTCACAATTCAGGCATGTGCCTCTGCTAGGAATCGAACCAGTGACACTCTGGTTCACAGGCTGGGGCTCAACCCACTGAGCCACACGAACCAGGGCCAGGGCCATATTTCTTAACTACTTATGAGCACGGGAGTTGAATCTTGGCATCATAAAGTCCTAGATGCCCACTTCATGGTCCAAATAGGTAATCGGAATCCCTGTATTCTCAGGGACAGGCCTCAGGTCACACAGAAGTTGGGGGTGGGGACACTCTGCCCCCCAGATGCCAGGTTTCCCGAATCCCATGTTTTGCCCTCCGGGCCTGGCACGCCCAAGCATAAAGTGACAATAACGGATACATACTGAGTGCCTACTATGTGCCATTCACTTATTTGATCATTACCACAGCCCTGTGAGGTAGGTGTTAAGATGATATCTATTTTACCCTGGCTGATGTGGCTCAGTAGATTGAGCACTGGCCTGTGAGCCAAAAGGTTGCAGGTTCAATTCCCAGTCAGGGCACATACCTGGGTTGTGGGGTAAGTTTCTAGTTGGGGGCCTACAAGAGGCAACTGGTCTACGTTTCTCTCGCTTCTCTTTCTCCCTCTCTTCCCCTTTCTACAAATAAATAAATAAATAAATAAATATTTTAAAGAGCCAAAAGATTATATTCATTTTATAGATAAAGAAACGGGCTCAGCGGGGGGAAGTCACTTGTCCAAGCTGACACAGTTTGTTGGTGGTAGAGCTGGGACTTGAACCCGGTTGTGTGTGCCCTTCCCCCAGTAGGCCTCGTTGGAGGCATGAAGACCCTTAGGCAAGAGAGTGCATGGTCCCTTTGCAGGATCCAGGGGTGAGCAGTGTCCAGTTCATAGTTTCCATGCAGGCCTGGCCTCCCCGAGGCGGGAAAAAAAGTGCTGAGGCTGTGGAAACACTGCTAACCTTCCCAGAGGAGGCAGCCA